AGGGGTCGATGGGGAGTGAGGAACCAGATCAGACATCGAGGGTGGGGGTCCTTGCTAAACTGACTTAGCAAGAGTCTTGCTAAAAGTAGACGATGCAGAGACAAACACGGACACCCGAAAGTCAGGGCCTGGTTGAGGAGAGAGCTCAGAGGAGCTGGGGTAGAGTTTAGTCAACGAGAGACTCTTTGTCAACATGCTGCTCAAGATACGGCATAGCTGGCTTTCATTCTGTCATCGTCCATTCATTCACTTATTCAGAACACAGTTATTAAGCTCCTGCCAGATACTTGCAGGCACTGGGGACTCAGCAGAGCCCGAAACTGATGAGGTCCCTGGAGCTGACCCACTGCAGTGGGAGTGGCTGGGGATGCGGACGATCAACACATAACAGCCAACCAAATGCTTTCTGATACTGAGTGCTAATATCTAAAGAACAGGAAGCTGGAGCACAGGGCAGAGAGGGAGTGACATGGGGGAGGGCATATTTTAGCCCGGGTGGTCAGGGCAGGCCTCTCTGGATGAGGAGGAGGCAGCTGGTGAGCTGGGGAAAGGGCATTCCAGGCAGAGGACACTGCCTGTGCAAAGGTCTTGAGGCAGAAAGAGCTGGTGAGTTTGAGGAATAGTAAGTTCAGTGTGGCCAGAGCGGAGTGAGCCAGTGTGAGGGCAGCTACAGACAAAGGCGGGAAGAGATTGGCAGGGGCCAGATTATACTGTGCGGGTGATGAGAGAGAGGATTGACGGGGAATTTTTAAATATCCCCCTGGCTGCTGTACAAGTGGATAGACTTCAGGGAGGGCGGGGAACGCAAGGACACCACCAGACGGCCATTGCAGTGGTCCAGGCCGGAGGCTTGGAGAGCATTTATTCAGGAGAAGTGTCTATTCCAGCAAATATTTAGCAGAGATCTGAGTCCACATATCCATATTGGCCCTGGAGGGTGGTCATGTTCAGAGCCTGAATTAGGGAAATAAATAGCTGGTGAACTCCTATACATACCTCAAAACCCATTGTTCCTGCCTAGTGGGAGTTGAAAAGCCAGAGCATTTCCCCTGGCCCCATATCAACAGATTGCCTGGAAGTTCACTCAGAGTAGAGACTGAGGTTCATTTGGCCCTTATCATGGCCCTCAGCACAGGCACTTATTAGGTAGATAGTCAGTGGATATTGGATGGAAGGAGGGTGGGAAAGAGACCTGAAATGCTTAGTATCCTTCCTCTGGGACAGTGATCCAACTGGTAGAACTGACGGAGACAGTTTTAGGCTTGGTCCAGGCAAGAATGGCCCAAATTTCCAAATTGAGAGTGGTTGCCCTAAGTGAGGTAGTGAGTTCCTGGTTTCCTGGAGGTGTGCAAGCCGAGACTGGACACAACCCATCAGGGCTGCTTCTGGGGAGGAGATACTTTCCCTGGGAAATGGTCGGTGGGACTAGGGGACCCCCAGCCCCACCTCAAGTCCCTCCGTCCCAAGATTCTGGGCTTCCGCCCTGGCCCTGAGCCCACTGGCCTTCAGCCATGACCGGTTGATCTGTCCTTGAAGGCAAGACCCGTATGGAGAGCTGAAGGATGAGGTCACCTCCTGCAGCCTCTACCGGTCCACCCACAACGCCACGCATGCGAAGTATACGTGCCACATGGATGTGTTCCACTTCATGGCTGACGACATTTTCAGTGTCAACATGACAGACCAGTCTGGCAACCACTCCCGGGAGTGTGGCAGCTTTGTCCTGGCTGAGAACAGTGAGTATCCCTGGACCCCGGAGCTGAGGGGAACCCAGGTGGGGACTGGACCCCATGTTCCCTGGGCCGGCTCTCCCCGCCACCAAAACTGACCCATCCATAGATTTAGATGCACTATGGTTTACTCAGGTATGATGAGAGACAGCTAGGCTTGGGCCTGAACCAGAGAGAGGCAACAGATGTGTGAAAGGAGCTGGACCAGAACCAGGACCTTGGGCTTCAGTTCTGGCTCAGCCCCAGCCTATCGGTGACCTTGGACTGTATAGAATGAGAGGCCCTTTTACCCCTGACCTTCTGGGATTCTGTCCCATTATAAGGCAAATGGGAGACATTGAGTCACAAGAGAAAATTTCCCCAAGTCTTTTCTCTCATCCATTAACTCCAGTGAGGCCTAGAATTTCCCTCCAGGCTGGATGGAGGCAGGAGGCCAAGGGGCAGAAGGGCCAGCTGGTGAGAAGGGCCCAGGAGGCTGTGTGTGTGTGTGTGTGTGTGTACCCAAAGTGGGGCGTGTGTGTGTGTGTGTGTGTATGCGTGTGTGTACCCAAAGTATCTTCAGCTCATCATGCAGTGGGTGAGAGGCCCATCCCCAGAGGTATGCAAATACAGACCGCAGAGTCTTGTCCTTGGAGAATATTCAGCCCCTGAGGTTTGGGATTTTCTGTCCCTAGATCCCCAGTCGTAGGGCAAGGGCATAAGAGAGTGTCTGTTATTCACTCACACTCTGAGTCCAGGTTTGCACCACTTTGCTGAGTGGGTGTCACACCAGCGAGGGTGTGAGCAAAGCTTCTCTCTCTCTCTCTCTCTCTCTCACACACACACACACACACACACACTTATAAACACACCCTCAAACACACAAATGCCTTCCCATCCCCTGGCCTGGACAGCAGATGCCATGTTTTCTCTCACGCATGCACACATGCACGCACACGAACGCTCACTCAGCCGTTTAGGTCCAGTTGTGGTGAATTCACTGAGCAAGGGGGCCCTCCCACCTCTCTGAGAGAGCTGGGCAGGCAGTGGCCCCAATCTGCAGAGAAGAGCGAAGGGCAGGACTGACACTCTGCCTTGCAGGGTGGCTTCGAGTCACAGTCTTCTCTGGACCCCTTCCCTCTGCCCTCCTGGAGATGGTCTGAGGCCAGGCCTGTGCCCAGAAGTGGCAGGAAGCAGTGTTTTGCTCCCCGTGCACCCCTCCCTTGTCCCTTGCTCCTCCTGAGCCTCCCTGGGCCGGGCAGCCCCTGTCCTTGAATCTGGACTCTGCCAACATCTCCTGAGCTCCTCTTTGAATTGGTCCTCACCAGCCAGCCCAGGCCACACAAAGGAGCAGGTACGAGGCCGCCACCTGCCCGGGGAGGAGAGAAGAGGCTTAGCAACTATTCCAGTCCAGAAGGACCCATTGCTGAAATAGCACCAATGATAAAGCACTCACCATGGCCTCGTGAAGGTGCACCTTCTCCCACCTAGGGCCATGGGGCAGGGTTGTGAGCAGCTTCAGAGCTCCTTTTGGAACCCCTGAATTTGACAAATATTTCTCGAAGGCCTACTGTGTGCCAGGCTCTGTCTTAGGAGGTGAGGTCACAGCACTGACCCAGAAAAACAAAACCTCCACCTCAAGATGCTGAGACCCCAGAAGGTCAGAGAAGGGGGTGGCTGGTGAACAGATCTTGAAGGGAGATGGAGAGAATGTTGGTGTGGTCAACAGAGCTTGAAGGGGGTAGGTGTGAGGCAGGGGTCTGTCGCTTCTCTCTTACACCAACATGACACTTGTCACTCAGTTTCTCTGAAGTTACCACCTTCTGCTACTTAGTTTGATTCCATGAATGTTTGCCCCAGGTGATAGGAACTTGTTCCCTTTTACAAGAGAGGAAATGAAGGCACTGTACCGTGCTGTGTCCCGCTCAAGTTCTTAAAACAAATTTGGGATGGGGCAGAACTGGAAGCCTGCGCTGACCTTTGCCTGGGGGATGCCCGGCAGGCAGTGATGTTGTGGTCCAGATCTCTGCTCCTGCACTTTCCAGAAACTGTCTGTGAGACCAGAACAGTCACACCAAACTCACAGGGCCACTGCCGGGTGCCAAACTGCTCGGTGAAGCAGCCCGCAGGCACTCACTAGTGGCAGCTTTCATCGTTAGCGTGATGCATAGCATCAGTAATCATAGCATAATGAGGCATAGCATAATTAGTTAGCATCCTTGCTAATTAGAGGTTTTTGACTTTTCAGGGAAGCTGGGGCTCAAAGAATTGGTCCCATTGTTTAGAGCAGAAATAGAGGGCCAGTGGGTCTGGCCAACAGGTGGTTTAGAAAGTTTTTGGATTAGTAGCTAACTTTAACATTTGAGAGAGTCCCCACAGCAATCTGGATTATCAGGTTTTTGCTTTCTGGCCAACCTGGTCTGCATTCCTGACCAGGCGCTGGGGCTGAGTCATACATCCCCTTTACAGCTCAGTCCTCAAAACTGCTTCGCCCATTTCTGTCACCTGCCCGCCCGAGTTTGCAACTCCAATCTCATCTAAATTTCACATTTTTCAGATGAATAAGCTGAGGCCCAGAGATGGGGCGCTTCACTCAAAGATGCTACTTGGGGTTACTAATCCTAATCTCCTAAAGGATGAGTCACCAAATCTTTCTCAGCTGCTACAAAAATCTCACCCCATTTTATCTTTCTGACTTTTTCCTTTAAGTCAAGCCATCTCCTCCTTTGAACGTGACTGTGACCTTCTCAGGACATTATAACATTTCCTGGAGTTCCAAGTACGATTTCTTCGCTCTCAAGGGCAAGCTTCAGTATGAGTTGCGGTACAGGAAGCTGGGAGACCCCTGGACCCTGGTGAGACCCGCAGAGAATCAAGGAGAGGAAGGGAGGGGGCGGGGCAGTACAGAGCATCCAGGTGGGGATGGGGAGTGTCCTAGAGACAGATGAGCTTGTAAGTCACAGCTGAGAGTGGAAACCAAGGTCACACCAAGGACGGAAGCTCCCCTTACACTCTGCCTTGGTGCTCCCCTCCTCTCATTTCTCCCTGGGGAAGAAGACTCTTTGGAATTCGTTTCTTCCTGTCATGACCCCCCCGTTAGCACGCCACTGAGAAAGGGATTGGCACGTCCCCAGGTTCCACCTCGAGTCTAGTAGTGACAGTAAAAGTTGCAAAAGTGGGGACATCTGGACCCTCCCCACTCCGCTGAGGATGGTCGTAGTTGGAGAGTTCCAGATGTATCGATAACCGATACATCAAGCGCGGGGGCTGCAGAGGCATCCTTGGTTTCGAGTGTTGGAAAGTTCTGGAACTGCCTGCTATTTAGAACGGTCTCAGCTGAAGAGTTCTAGAATTATCCATCCTTTAGAATGGTCCCAGTCAAAGATTTTCATTAACGCCATTGTTTAGAAGGCTTTCGGAGGCATCCGTTGCCTGTAGTTGAAGACTTTTTGAAATGCCCACTATTGGAAAATTCCCAAAGCGCCTACTGTCTGGAATGCTGCCAGTTCAAGATTCCCAGGAGTGGCCATGACTGCTCCAGGGACCTTCCCGGTCCCAGAGCAGCGAGGGTCCCCTCCTGTTGGGTCTGAGAGAAATGAAACAAAGCTTTGTATCACAAGCAAGACCAAGACAGTGCCCACGGCTCTGTGCCACTCACGCTGGAGTGGCCAGACCTCAGGCCAGGGCCGGACTCTTGTGGAGGGGGTGGGGCATTGGAGGAGACACTCGGCGCCTTTCATGGAGGCTGGTAAAGGGGGTTCTGCTGGAGGCAGGAGCCGACCTGGTTGGCTCTGACCCCGTGCATCTTCTCCTGTGCGCGCAGAGTCCAGGGAGAAAGCTGATCTCGGTGGATTCAAGAAGTGTCTCCCTCCTTCCTTTGGAGTTTCATAAAGGCTCCAGCTACGAGCTGCAGGTGCGGGCAGGGCCCCAGCCCGGCTCCTCCTACCAGGGGGCCTGGAGTGACTGGAGTGACTCGGTCATCTTTCACACCCAGCCAGAAGGTAGGCATGGAGCTGGGGTGGACACCCCACTCTTTGTGACAAATATTGTCCTGAGCCCTGAGATTTCTGGCATGGTCAGAAGGCAGTCCCTCAATCGTGTGTCCCCAGTTGTAGCCACTTGACATTTCTGGAGCCTCTGCTTGCCAGGACCTGCATCGGGTGCCAGGTGCTTCTCCTGCCAGGGTGTGCCACCCTCCTGACAGCTCTGTGAAGTAGGAGTCATTATCTTCACTTTGCAGATGAGAAAACTGAGGCTTAGAGAGGAAGTCACTTGCCTGGGGTCGGGGTGGGAGCAGGATTTGAACCCAGATCCATTTCACTTCAAGGGACCGGCAGCTTTCCCTCCTCCTTCCACTGCACCCTATTGCCGACCACACCCATCCCATGCTGAACCAGAGGTAGGTTCAGTTTGACCCAGTATTTGCTTCGTCCCCAGAGATGAAGGGAGGCTGGCACACTGACCTGCTGTATCTCCTACTGGTCTTCATCCTCCCTGTCCTTGTCTACTTAGGCCTGAAGATCCGCCTGCCTTGGAGGTGAGGCCAGGGACTTGGGAGTGGGGGAGGGGGGTCGGCCTGGGCCACAGCCCCTCTCCTCTATGGCACACCCAGGGCTGGGGACACACCTATCATCACAACGGTGACGATGACAGTGGTGGTGATAATGACCAGCTCCTGCTTCCTTTGTGCTGGGCACTGTGTGGAGGGCTTGGCGTAAGGCTCACAGCAGCCCTGTGAGCTTGATGCACAGAAATTACCTCCGTTTGACAAGTGGGGAAAGTGAGGCACAGAGCCGCCAAGGAACTCGCCCAGAGTCAAATGGCTGGGAAATGAAGGAGTGGACTTTGAGCCCTGTGCTCTCAACACAGCCTTGGCTGTGACGATGTCCGGTGAATTTTAAGCTTTGAGTCCTGAGCACAAGGGGTGATAACCCACCCCCCAAACCCTCTGCTTCAACCAAAAGTCGCACTTTTATCTGTATTGTATTGAGCTCTGCTGAGCATGGCCATGGAGAGAAAGGGTGCTCCTGATTAAAAGTACAATGTAGGCTCCCCTGGCCTCCACAGTGCTGCTGGCTGCTGTGTGATTACAACTGCCACATGCTGAGCCTTGGCCAAGCAGCAGGCTCATCCTCTTCATCCTCATCCAGAGAAGGAGGCAGGGAAGCTTGAGGGGCGAGATAATGATGGGGACCCCACGGCTAACATGGAGCTCTCCAGCCCTGGGCACAGGGTGCACTCGCCAAACCCTTCCATGCCCTGGGGAAGTGGCTCTGTGCCCCTCTGGTCCTGGAGGAGGAAGTCGAGGCTCAGGATGGCATGTGCCTGGCACAGGACAGGCCACCCAGCCCTTAAACTCTACGTACCTCCAGGAGCCTGAGGGGAGACTTGCTGCCCCAAGGTGACAGCTGTGGATGCAGAGGCCAAGGGCAGGTGGCTGCAGGGTGGACTGAGTGTACCTCAGGAGACACTGACTCTCCTGCAGGACAAAGTTGGGGAGCATCTGAGGGGGAGGCCGGGGCACCCTTTGCGTGATGCAGGGGGTTCACCTCATCTCTGCCTTCCTAGGCCGTGGAAGGTACCCAGCCCAGAGGGATTTTTCCAGCCCCTGTATGTGGGCTACAGTGGAGACTTCAAGGTGAGTGCCCCCCCGACCTGGCGTCGAGCCCCTTGGAGCCTCTCACCCTCTGTGGGAGCCCACCACCACCCTCACACCAGGACCCCCAGCCCCGGCCTGCAGGCCCAGCCAGCCCTGGAGCCCACCTCGGTCCCCACATCAGCAAAGTATAGGAAGTAATCTGGAGGCAGAACGGGCATAAAAATTAAATGAGGTCAAAAACAGCCTTCTTCCCGCTCAAGAAGGGAAGAGGGTGGGCCAGGATTGGCCTCCTCTTAGATGCCCCTGATATGGGGGCGGAAGAGGGAGCAGGTTCTAGGAAGGGTCTCGACCTGCCCACAGAATACACCAACCTCCTGCCAAGCTCCAACCACTTCAGCTACCACCAGCACCCACAGGTTCTCTGGGCTCATTTACTGCTTAACACTCAGTTGCTGGCAGGAGGGGCACCCCACAGAGAGGACGTGGTGACAGCCGGAGGGGCAGCCAGGCTCCAGCTGAGCCTGGAAGTCTGGAAGTATGGCTGGAGCATTGAGCGTGCTCCTCTATTGTTTGCCCGCTGCTGCCGAGGGCCCTCTGGCCTCCGCCCACCTTGCTCTCACCCAGCCCCTGCAGGGCGGCTGCTCCATCACTCCCGGGGACCGTGAGTCGCAGGCTCAGACTGGAAAGTGTCTTTCCCCGGGCAGGAAAGAGCCTGGCCTCCAGCCCACGTGGGGCAGACCTTTTTCCTCTGCTACTTCCTGGGAGCTCAGATTTCACATCTGTCTCGTGTTCATTTTATCGATACTCACAGAGCACTCGCTGTGTGCCGGGTACTCTGCTAGGAGCTTCCCAGATATTAACTCATTTAATCTTCACAACAACCCTGTGGCGTGGGTATTATTAACCAACCCACTTTACAGATGAGGAAACTGAGGCACAGAGAGGTTAAGTAACTGGCTCAAGACCACGCAGCTGAGAAGCGACCTCAAATCAGTGGTGGTAGACGCATCAGGGTTCTAAAATGAGCTTTCCAAGGGCAGTGGGCTCACACTGAGATTTTAGTTCTGAGGGGTTTTCTTTCCTGATCAGATGGGGACCCTGTGTCATGAGGGGGATCCTCAAAGCTTAGGGGCCACCGCCTCAGCCCATCATGACCCCAGAGCTCTTACCCACCAGAGGCCATTTCAAATGGCTTGCCATGATTCGCTCTGCTCATTCGTTTAGTCGATAAACATTTATTGGGCACTTCCTGTGTGCCAGGCACTGTGTGAGCCTCTGGGGATATAGCCGTGACCAGAAGAATGGGGGCTTCTGCCCTGGCAGAGTGTCCACTCCAGTAGGGACACAGATAGGAAAACGGTGGGTTCCAAGAAATGTCTGGAGGAAATAAGACAGGAGACCAGGTAAGGGCTCTGTTGCTCTGACCTCAGACTTTCCTGCCCCTGTGTCCCCAGAACCCAGGGTCTTGGTCCTTGTACTCGCACACGCCCCAGGCCACAGAGCCACCGATGGCTTAAGCTTGTACCCCGCCTGGCCCCCGTCCCATTCACAACTCTCTCTCCCTATTCTCTCTCACAGAAGTGGGTGGGCACACCCTTCACTGCCTCCAGCCTGGAGCTGGGTCCCTGGAGCCCAGGGGTGCTCTCGACCCTGGAGATGCACAACTGCTGCCCCCCGCCGAGTGTGGCCAAGGGGCTGGAGCCCACGGAGCTGCCGGAGCCCGCGGACCTGGTGGAAGTCGACGGAGTGCCCGAGTCAGGTTCCTGGGGCCCAGCCCCCTCTATTGACAGCAGCTTGGGCGGCTTAGCCTATAGCCGGGAGCAAGACCGGCCTTACGTCCTGATATCCATAGACACGGTGATTGTGTCGGATGCAGAGGGGCCCGGAGCCTGGCCCTGCACCTGTGGGGACGACGGTTACCCAGCCCTGAACTTGGACACTGGCCTGGAGCCAGGACAGGGCACTGAAGACCTGCTCTTGGGTACAGGGGCCACAGTCCTGTCCTGTGGCTGTGTTGCAGCTGGTGGCCCTGCCGGGCTGGGGGTCCCCCTGGGCAGTCTCCTTGACAGACTAAATCTGCCCTTTGAAGATGAGGAAGGCTGGGCCCCCGGGCCGCCCTGGGGTGGCAGGCCGCCCCGAGGGGTGTCTGACAGCGAGGCAGGCTCACCTCCTGCTGGCCTGGACATGGACACGTTCGACAGTGGCTTCGCAGGCTCTGACTGTGGCAGCCCTGTGGAGTGTGACTTCACCGGCCCCAGGGACGAAGGGCCCCCCAGGAGCTACATCCGCCAGTGGGTGGTCATGGACCCTCCACCTGCAGGACCTGAGCCCCAGGCCAGCTAGTGAGGTTGACTGGCTGTCCAGAGCTGGCCATGCCACTGGGCCCCTAGCCAGAGACATGGTCACCTGGGCTGCAGCGTTTGGTCTCCTTGATAGAGCCTGGAGCCTGGAGTTTGCAATGTGGGTGTGCAGCTCAGGTGCACACTGCTGCGTCTGTGTGTGTTAGCAGCACATGAGCTTGTACACACATGGTGACAGCCTCCCTCCCTGCCAGGTGAATGGGGGTGGGCTCTGGGGTCACATGCTGAGAGGTCGGTCCAGTGCTGTCCACAGGGCCTCCTGGGACCAGGGCACTGCCTGTGATGATAGACACCGAGCCCCACCCTCCAGGTCCTGTGCCTCCAGGAGTCACAAGAAGTCCATCACCCTTTCTTATCACTTTTCAAGGGAAGGGGAGGGAGCAAGCCCACAGTGACCTTAGAGGTGGGACGATTTGGCGGGGATCTATGGACCTAGGTCTGAGTCCTGCCTCTGACTCCTCCTGGCTGTGCTACCTCTGAGGGCGAGTTGCTCCCCCTCTCTGGGCTGGGATTTCCTGTCTGGACAATGTGGGTGTCATGACTGACCTTGGGGAGGAATCGGTGTGTTCCCCCACGTAGTGTGCAGTCCAGAGCAGACCCTTAATAAACGTCAGCTTCCTTCCTTCCTTCCTTCTGCGGTGGGATCCGGGCTTGTGCTGGAGGTGGGTGGGGGTGAGAAAGCAGCCGCAGCCCGGTGCCTGCGGGCTGTCCCCACCCTGCACAGGGGCACTAGGGGACTTTCTGGGCTGAAAGTCAGTCAGCCCTTGCGTCCCCCACTAATGAACAAAGTTTCCTTTTTCTGGCTCCCGCTGCCCGTTTTTAAATTCCCTTCATGAACCCAAGAAATATTTATTGAGCACGGATATGCTGGGCATGGTGCTGAGTGCTGGGGTACAGAGTGGGAGCGCAAGGCCTCTGACCCCCCTTGTGCTCATGGTAGTGATGGGGAGACAAGAGTCGGCAGTAATGACACAGCAGTTCTGTCGCCTGGCATCTTATTACTCATCTTGGTGAGTTAGGGAGAAGTCAAGTTCTTGATGATTTGACAGAGAGTCTGTTGAAATGTGACTTGAGGAGCCAAGAAAATAGTTCTGAGCCCTGCTTTGAAGGCGCCTCACTGAATATCAGTTTTGCACAGGAGGCAGATATAAATGATGCACGTGGCACACAACTCACACTTTTTTTTTTTTAGAAAATAGATTTTCTCTCTAAGGGTACTGACCTTTAGCGGTGGCTTTTCAAGACCTACAAGCGGGGGTGAAGGCGGCGGGCAGTCTGATTCAGAGGCCTGTTCCCAGAGCCCCGAGGGGAATCCCCACCCCCAACTGCCCTCCTTCACCAAGGCCAGGCTGCAGGGAGGTCCTCCAAGGAGACTGCTCTGGCTTGTCCCTCCTTTTGGACGAGTCTGAGCTAGAAGTCTGCAGAAGTCAGTCTGGCTAAAAGCGTCTCTGTAACTCATTGGTAACATGGGGTGGCTGGAAGAGAACACATGAGTCCTTGGTGTGGAAAGTTCTAGAACACTGACGGTTTTAATAGTGGAACTGTTAATCTGGATCAGGTTGTATGAGGCTAGGATGGGGGCACAAATGTGAAACCACAGCTTATGCATATGTGAGCAGCCCCCGCCACCCCTCCGTCACCCTAGAGACACTTGGGCCAAGGTGTGCTGTGGTTTTCACACTCTCTTGTGGGCAACAGGTTTCAGACACCACCTGGGCCACGGTTCTGTGCCCTGCCCCACCCCCCCCACCCCAGGGCAGCAGCTCAGCTCTCCACACACAGAGCTCAGTGCTGCCGGGGAGGAGGGGAACACCTGGGAGACTGACTGATGCCAGGCCTGGGATTGATGGGGGCTCTGGCCTGGGCCAGACAGAGCTCTTGACTGGCTCCATCTTTGAAGGGCCTCAGCTCATAAATGTGGGTGCAAAATGAAGACAAGAGCTGCTGCACTTGGGAGGATGGACTCGTAGGAGGTGGGCGGATGGATGCTGGCTGAACCGGTGGGTACGTTAGTGAGTGGATGGATGGATAAATGGGTGGACAGATGGCAAAAGCTTGAAGGGAGAATGGTGCAATGGATGGATGGAGATAAACAGATGCTAGAGACAGAGATGATGGTTCAGACAGAAGCTCCATGAGAGCAACAGCTTTATTTTGTTCACTGCTTTATCTCCTGTCTGGCACACAGTAGGCACTCAATAAAGCCTGGTTTGTAGCGTTTGCTTATTTCCATAGTGTAAATACTTCCATCACGGTCAATTTTGAGCTACAACTCAATGGCTCTAAACAGAATTGGGAAGGGATGTGCACAATTTACTCTCCTAGTTGGTATGAGTTGGCCTTGGCACAGCGCTGTTGGGAGCCCAGAGCGGGCATCAGGAGGAGAGGATGGCGCTGCACTGAAGAGCTGGTGTGTTTGTTGGGCTTTGAAAAATGAATAGGAGTTGTTAGGTGCACCAGCAATTCAGGCAGAAGCTTGGGAGCCCAGAGCGGGCATCAGGAGGAGAGGACGGAGCTGCACTGAAGAGCTGGTGTTTGTTGGGCTTTGAAAAATGAACAGGAGTTGTTAGGTGCACCAGCAATTCAGGCAGAAGGAAGAGCTTAAGCAAAGGCCTGACCAAGCCCTGAGCACCTGGAGGTGGAGAAGATGGCTCCTTGTCAGCCAAATTGCTAAGGACCTGCTCCTAAGAGGCAGGAGGACTGATAGCAACAACCCTTGTACAGATGCCACATTCTGCTCCTGGCCCAACCCTTTCCATCTGCAGGCTCTGAAGGGGCGGGCATAGCCATCTGACAAATGAAGGTGCAGAATGGGTCTGTGACTTGCCTGAGGTCATACATTGAATTAAAGCTCAGAATCAGATCTCGAGCTTGGGTCTCCTGATTCCAAGTCCAATTCTTCCTCACCGCGCTCTGCTTATAGGGACCTAGGTCAAGAAGTAAGAAACCTTTAGCAAACACCTGTGGATGCCTATTCTTTCTGCCTGTGTGGCATCCTTATGGGGGTGGCTGACCCCGGCTGTGGGCATGGCTATGTGACCCAGCCCCGGCCAACAGAGCATTCCACCCCGCCCCCATCCCCCGGCCACAGTACAGGTCCAAGGACAGACATGTGACCCCATTTGGTCCATGCATTCTTTCTACTGGGATTGCAAAGCTGTTGGGGATGGACTAAGCCTAGAGTTGTGGGGGACACTGGGAGGGAACAGCTTACCTGAGATGAGGCCAGCACCCAGAAAAGCAGAGCTGGGAGATGGAGACATAGTCCTGGAAATATCTCTTGAGCTCCTGGATCCAGCCATGCTTGAAACTACAGTCCCCCTGGACTTTGAGGTACATGAGCATGGAAGGAGCGATGCTGTTCACCACATATTTCCAGCTTTTGGCCTTCTAGCAGGATTGCACTTCCTGGCTCCCATGGAATGGGGTCCCATGGCCAGGGCTGGTCAATGAGCTATGAGCAAAGGCGGTCTCACTTTTGGACCAAAGCATTTAGGTGACAGTCATGATGCCCTCTAGAGTGTGACCAGTGATGTTTGAGATGGTAGTTGCTCCATCAGTCTGTGTCTCAAGCGAGGAGATGTGGAACAGTTTTCAGTTCACCTGTGATGGACATATATTGGAGCAAGAAATAAATTCTTTGTTCTAACGCCCGAAGATGTGGGGGCTGCTTGTTACCACAGCATAACCCAACCTAATCCGATTGAACCAATGAGCTATAGGTTTCCTGTTCTGCCGAAGTGGGTTTGAGATGGGCTTCCATCGCTTGTAGTAGACAATGTTCTAGTGTTATTCTCATCTCATCCACGAATGAGGACACTCCTCCCATCCATCTGGGGACCAGAGGACCAGGCCATCATTTCTCATGAATGACTTTGGGCAAGTTGCTCACTGTCTCTGAGCCTCAGTTTACTTCTTCACAAAGTGTGGGCAGCAGTCAGCCTCTCAGGTTGCTCTGGGGATGAAAGGATGGGTTGAGGACAGGAATATTAGGTATGTGTTTGCTTCTTCCTCTGTAATCACCTGGAGCCAGCCTCCAGGTCACATGAGGGGAGGGCTGTGGTCCCAGTCCGTCCCCAATCACTTCCCCAGAGAGCTCACGGGCATTTGTATCCGGGATGCTCTGAAGTGGACATTGCTTTCTCCCAGGCTTTGAAGAACCTGAGAACTCATCAAATTACTGGGAGCTCTCAGCCTGGGATGCCATCTGGCTGTCCTACCTTGGGAAGGAGGGAGAAAGGGTGTAAATCAGACCTGGCTCTTCGTTTTACCCTTGGGGAAAGGAGGCCCAGAGGGACATTGACTTGTCCAGAGTCACTTGGAATCTGTACACCTCAGTCCCGGTGCTGGACTCCTTTAGACCACCTCCTGATGGAGGGAAAGCCCCCTCCCCCTTCCTATCAGGGATCCCAGTTTGCCTGGCCTGGCCGCTGGCGACATGTGCTCAGCCCTTCACGGTCCATCCCAACTACACTCTCCTCAGATGCACTGTCAAAACCAGGAGGGGCTTTCCTATGGGAGATAGGAGGGTGGGCACAGGCACTTCCCCTCCTGCGAGCCCATTCCATCGACGGTGAAAAAGGAGTCCAAGTTCTCAGCACGGAGGAAAGTGGGAGAGGAGAGACACCAACTTATCAATGGAAAACCAGAGGAGTCAAGTCTGCGCACGTCACCTTCTCAGTGGGACCTACGTCAAGCCCCACTGACCTAGTTGTTTTTTTCATAACGCTGTGACACTCAAACATACGTCTTTTACTTATCTGTCATATTTACTCCCTATCCCACTAGCACAGGGATTTTGTTTTATTTACCTCTATGTTTCGGTGTCTGGCACATAGCAGGTGCTCAAAAATATTGAATGAATGAGTGAATTAATTGATCGATGGCAGAGTAGTGACTGACAAAACTGTGGGCAGAGAGGAGAGAGGAGACTGAGCCCAGGGGAAAACCGTCTGTCCCGTACCTGAAAACGCCACAGATCGAGACGCGAAGTTGAAAACAGGTTTCCTTGGAAGTCTGTAAATGGAGCTAGAGACCCTCCCCCACAGCTCATCCCATGGGGCAGTTAGGGGTCTTTCTCCATTCCTGGTGGCAACAAATTTGAGATTTCCTTTTAAAGACTGATGGTCTCAGGGAAGGAACCTTTGCATTCTGCCATCTAAGGGGTCTCCCAACATAATGCCGGCCCCTCACCCCTATCCCTGCAAAGTGGTATCAGGGAGGAGGGCTGTGAGGCAGGACTGTCCAAGACCCGCTTACTGGCTTCCAGGCTTGCAGAAATTATCTTGCCTCCTGGTACCTGTTTCCTCGTGCACGACGTGGGCACACTGATCGAACATACATCTTAGGGCTGTTGTGAGACCAGTGCCAAGTATTTGGCACATTGCAAGTGCTCAGAAAATGTTATTATCATCATTTTTGTGGACAAGTCACACCTCACCCCAGCAAGCCTTTACAAATGTTAACCTTAAACATGGATTGACAAGGAGCTACAGACATCTGGAGAGTAAGATGAACCAGCAGGAAACAGAGATGTTGGGCGGCTGCTGTCACCTACTGGTGACCACTGGAACTTGGCGGAGGTGTCAGCTGAAGGTGGTGCCCTCCAGCACTCTGCTGTCCAGGTGGGGCTCCACTTGCATCTGCCAGGTGCTGTACTGTGCTGGGTGGCTTATACAGGTGGCCCTATACAATCGTCACAGCAATCCTCTGCAGTGGGAATACGGTGATGATGACACAAGGTGAACTGGCAGGTTCTTTTGAATTCAACAAGGGCTGACTTCTTGGGTGGGTAGAACTGCACTGGGCACAGGGCAGTGCGGGTGGGAGATCACAGGGTGAGATCACACATGCACAGACATGCACATGTACACATACACGAATACATGCACACACATGCACGGATACATGCAGACCCCTGTATATACATAAAGACATATATGCCCATGCGTATCTGGAAAACCCTGGCAGAAGTGGGCCAAGGGCCTAAGGGAAGGATGGGTGACCAAGGGGAAGTCAGAAGACAGAGATCACTCTCAGCCCAGGGTCGAGGGCAGCTGGAAGGGGAGGGAGAGGACCAGGGAGGATGTTGGCAGCAACGGACTGAAAAAGATCTGCCGAGGACTCAGGAAAGGGCGGCGGGGGCCACGACGGCAGCGCAGGACACTCCAGGGGGAACCTGGAAGCAATTTCAGTGTTCGGCATCGGGGAGAAGCGGGATGGACTCAGCACCTGGAGCCGGGCGCCTGCTGGTGAGGAGGAGGCAGCTCCCCATGTGCCAACGCAGACGTGCCAGGGGCTCTCTGAGTGAACAGCTCGAGCTGCATCGATGGCACATTTTATGTCAAACTGGCATCGCAGGCGCGTGTTTTCTGGGTGTGCATAACATGGACGTAAATGGAAAGAGGCATGATGAAGGAGGAAGGCGCCTGGAGGCTTAAGTCATATCTGCAATGTTTTAAGTGTTTAGGAGAGAATGAAAGAACATGGCGCTGAGGTAAGTAAAAAGGAGTCAGGGTGAAAAAAGTGCGGGGGAACCGAGAAACAGAGGACAGCCCAGGGGGTCGGGCCCTGCAGTGTGGCCTGGCGTGGCCTGGTGTGGCCTGGTGTGGGTGCCCGGCCAGGGCGCTCAGGACGTGCCGCTTCTGGGCTCAGCATCCCTTCCTGCTCTGCCTTTACTTGGTGGTCAGCATTTAAATTTTTTTCTTCTAAATGTGAATTCCTTCGCACCCAGGCTTGCAGAGTTTTGTTTTTCACGGTCCCTCCCACTCCCTAGTATTTAAGCCGCGGCTTCCTTCTCGTTTGGGTTACCTTCCGGACCCTCAAAGGCATCTGAGCTTCTGGTCTATGCCGTGGTTCCTGGAGCCCATTGTGCAGAGCTTGGGAGGGCAGAGAGCTGCCTTGGATGGGTGGGGGGGTAGGGCAGACGGAGAGATGGGGGTGGATGGAGGATGAGTGGGTGGAGGGAGGGAGGGAGGGAGAGAAAGGCCAGCCTTGCAGAGCAGGCGGGCCATGGGAATGTGCAGTGGTGGTCACAGAAGAGCTCCCTTGCTCCACTCGAGCTGTACCCTCATCCCTGTGTCCCATCTCCCCAGCACACGCCCAAAGTGTCCCTCACCTAGGGGGCACAGGAAAGGCGATGAACTGCTGAACTCTGCTTGTGCTGGCACTTGGCGTCCTCAGCCCACCCAGCCCTCCTATGAGGGAGACATTGTACCCCTGAGGGATGTGAACGTCAAGATTCCCAAACCGCCTTTCTTCCATCATGTGATGCATTCCCAAACAATCAGCATTTGTAAAGTATTTGCTGTTTGTAAAGCAGCTCACATCTATTATTCTACTTTATCTCAAAAAATCCCCTCAAACACTATCTTTTTACACTCGAGTAAAAACAAAAAGAAAAAAACGATGCTAAGACTTGGCCAAGTCTTGGCTGTGCTGGGGTTCACCCTTAAGACTCCAGACCTCACGCTCCTGTCCCTGGCCACCCTGGAGCCGGGCCTGGAGTGACCAGTGACCAGGTCCCTGACAGAGGAAAAACAAACATAGGGCCACACGTTGGGCCAGGCCAGACACTGCAGGTCAAAAGTGCCTGGATGGGCTGGTTTTATAAGGAACAGAAGCTGCAGTGGCTGTGAGACCAAACCCAGGGGTAGGGCAGTGGTGACTGGGGGCCATGTCCCAACTTCTGACCGTCACGTGCAGTTTTGCCAGATTTCTCCATTTTTCAAGAGAAAATGAAATTTGGATTTTTAACAAAACACAAAACCAAATTTAAAAAAAAATTTGGCACCTAAAGAAGATAAGAACTTCCATGGACCAAATCCATGCCACAGGCCTGCGACCTGTGCCACCTGGCACTGGGCTGGTGCTGCCTGACACATCTGCACGAGCTTCTCTGCCCAGATGCAGAGAGGGGTCCCGGTGAGATGAGGGAGGGCTTCGGGGAGAGGCAGGCCACGCGCACCCTGACTGGCCGAACTCAGCCTCCTCCCTTGTCTTTTGGTTTTACTGGGAACACTCATCCATTCCCGGCTCTTCTGCAGCTCAAGACAAGGAATGCCCTGGGGACCAGACTCTTTAGGAACCAGGAAACTAAATGTACTTTACTTCACTTTAATTAAAAAATAAATAAATACATGCCAGGGATTTTTAATGAGGAAAGAGATTGAGAACAAAACCAACCAGCCCCAAACCTATGGAACTCCTGGTTTCTAGCCAGCAGAAGAGGGCACACCCACCCAGCTGGCAGCCTGCCAGGTGGCTTGCAAGGCTATAAAGGGACCTGCAGGTTCCTCTCTGGGTGGCTTGTCCCAGCCTCAGGGGTCAAATGTCCTGCCTGGAGAGGACTAAGTCTCTGCTGGGGCCCCGGGGGGGCAAGGCACACAGCCCCCATTCTGTGACATGTCCTTACAAGGCCCTGATGCTCGGGGGCACTTGGCTTTTCTGGGGAGCCAGGGAGTCTGCTGTGGTCCTGGGATCTGGACCATGAGGTGTGCACGGACGGGCAAACTCCAAAGCCCAGAGCTCCCAGCCCCCATGAGCCAACAGCTGGCAACGCTGAGGTCCACACAGGAGTCTCAGGGTCTGGGAGGCAGCGCCGTTTCCACGCGGCAGCCACGTGGGCCTAACACACTCACCCGCCCAGGCTTGGCAGGGTGACAGGCAGATGGCCTGCCAGGGGTGGAAATGTGCCTGCACCAACGGCCATGGCCCCAGCGAGGGGAGAAGCGTGGGTGGTCCTCTTCCCAGAGTTCCAGGTTGGGAAATCAGGTCCAGTCAGGGCCGGAGGCTCAGCACAGACCTCCTCAGGACCTGGGCAGGGTGCAAGGCTGTCTGTGCCCCGACCTGGCTGGGCCACACTGCAAATGTGGGCACAGGCCCCACTCAGGAGAGCTCGCTTCCTCCTCAGGAGCCAGAGACGGAAGAGTCGAGATGGCCCCACGTGCCTCATAAGTGGACCCACTTGTTCCAGTTGACCTCGTGGGGAAACACACGGCCCAGCCGGAGGGTGCAGTCCAGCGTGGGCTCATAGAACACCGTGGAACTCTCGCCCGGGCTGGAGGGCTCCTCTGCCTCTTCCATCATGGGCCTGGAGAAGAGCGATACAGCCGCGGGCTTTCTCAGCAAGCGCTTCTTAATGCAGCCGAGGAATTCCAGGCCCTGGAGATACCAGACACACAGGTTTACCGGTGCATTTGAGGACCACGTCTGCTGCTGCCCAGACCAGGGGACACCTGCATCTGGCCTTGAGTGAGGAGGAGGAATTTACTAAGAGGGTTTAGGCGAAAGCCCAGGGCAAGAGAGAACAGTGTGACCAGCACTGGTACGGCAGCGCAGTTCCCAGCAGGGGTTGCAAAGTGGCTTCCCATGGGCCCAACCTGCTTCCCGATTAGGTTTTGTTGGGCCTGTACATGCTTGAAAATTTAGGAAATTTCACATTTAACTTCCAGTTTCTAGCTTCTGTCGAGGAGCAGGAGCCACTGGGCACACATGGCCGTGGGGACACAGCGTGGCAATCAGGCTGAGCTGTGGCCTAGCTACTGACCCTCAGGAGGCCGAGGGCACATCTCCAGCTCTGTCCGCCACCCACGAGGGCTTGTCGCTCATGTACCAGCCTGCCCATGGCCTGCGAGTTTGTGACTCCTGCTCTAGAGAAAATGTCAGAGACGAGACCCAGGAAGGCCACCAAGAGAGCCATCCTGGGGGTAGGAACCCAGGGCAAGAGTTGGGGATGCAGGAGGCTGAGGGGAGGGTGCTGAGAAGCAGGGCTGGCTGCCAGCAGTGCTAAGGGGCAAAGAGGCCAGATGCAAGAGGACAGAACATGGGTGTGGCACTTGGTGGGGCAGAGCGGCCCCAGACCTCTCTGTGCAGGCCCGAGGACGGAGGCGAAGAAAACAGGGGGCACCCGGAGCAGAGAGCGCTTCGGAGGAGCCTGGCTCCCTGCCAGGAGGCCAATGCGCCGATCTCTGCGTCTGCTGCCCCTCGTGAGTTGCCCCTGTGTGCAGTGGCTGTACCCTGAAACTCATCCAGCACACCCACCACAGCAGCCCTCTGAGACCCCACCTAGAACCCAGGGAGAGGGAGCCAGGAAACAACAGGGGGCACCCGGAGCAGAGAGCGCTTCGGAGGAGCCTGGCTCCCTGCCAGGAGGCCAATGCGCCGATCTCTGCGTCTGCTGCCCCTCGTGAGTTGCCCCTGTGTGCAGTGGCTGTACCCTGAAACTCATCCAGCACACCCACCACAGCAGCCCTCTGAGACCCCACCTAGAACCCAGGGAGAGGGAGCCAGGGTCGGGGAGCCAGGGTGCCTGTGTGGAGCCCTCCCCGTCGCGGCCCCCCACCGCACCTGGAGCAGCTCGAGCACAGCGATGGGCTGCAGGACGCCCCGGTAGTGCTGCAGCAGGCAGCTCTCGGGCACGCCGGGCCTGGTCATGATGTGGTACAGCACGGCCTCCATCATGCCCTTGCACACGGGCGTGTTCAGGTGGCCGTCCACGATGCGCCACGGGCGGCCGAGGAAACAGACGCTCTCACAGTCCCTGCAGGGCAGGCAGACAGGTGTCAGGCTCGGTGGGGAGAGAGGGACAGCTTGTTCACAGGGAGGCCTGCAGCCTGGCCCAGGTCACAGGGCTCCCAACCCCAGGGCCGACTAGAACCGGCTGAGGAAAGCTACAACATGGGGATCTGCTCAGACTCAGCAGTAACCAAGACTGTGAAGAGCCAGTGGCCCCCATGTGCCGCCAGGGGACACAATGGCAGGGGAGGGCGAAGACTGCCCAGCTGGATCTGGGACCCCTGGGCCGGCAGCTGCCTCCACCTTCAGGCCAAGCGCACAGAGGTCTTAATGCAGAAGCTCTACTCTGTGTCGCATACGGGGGTGTCAGTTACTCTTTCTTTAGAACAAAGGTTTCTGCCAAACACTAAACCGATGATTGATCTGCCACACGGGGCCCAGGAGTGGGACAGGCTCTGGACTAGCTGGACACTTGGCTCTGACTGCTGTGACTGGGCCCTGGGCATATGAGCTCTTGGGAGCCTGGAGCACGTAGGTTCCACCAAGCTGCGGGCAAGGTAAACACACGGAGCCATACCCTCACCAGAAAGGCTTCTCTGCAACCCACTTCTCAAGACAAACCTGGACACTGCAAATGTCTAGCACTTCTGGGCCCTACTCACTACGTGCAAGGACCACCTGCCTTGTTCCCCCAGTGAGTGGGACAAACAGTCCTGCACATTTCCAACTGCCCCTGGCCAAGAACAGGGCAAACTGTCCAATACCATACCTCCGTGGCAGATCTTCACATGTCATCATCAGTTCTGGTTTCCCCTGCCCGGGAACCCTGAGAGCTAGCTCTCCGCTAACCCCCCGCAATCTGAGTCACGTACTCACCTTTCCCGTGCTGCTTGGGAGAGGCTGCCGGCCACAGAACTCTCTGCCGAACCTGAGAGAAGAGGTGAAGGGCATGAGGGGCTTTCAAAAGCAGGAGCACGTCTCTTCCTGCCCACCTCTCACAAGCACGTCTGGGCTGTGTGGGGGAGCCGCGAACGAGGGACAGTGACCCCGTTCCTCACAGAGCCTCCATCCTCCGAGTGGCGGCCACGGAGGCCGAAGCCGGCATGACCTGAACAACACTGGGACAGACCGCAGTGGCCGCGGGGGTGGGGTGGGGCTCGGCTCACCCCACGGCTGCTCGGACCCACCAGGGGAGGCTCGTCTTCCATCCAGAAGCCCTGACCAAAGAGCTGTGTGTGTACAGCCCTTAGGTGAAAGCAGCCCCACCCCTCCTCCCAAACAAAACGCTTGGGAAACCAGCTGCAGAGGCCACTGCAGAGAAGAGAGAAAAGGACTCACACACAGGACAGGAAACGGCAGGCTTCAGTCAGTGCCAATGCTGAGGGAAGGTGAGCTCCCTCCCATTCCTGCCACTGTCCCCTCCCACTGGCTACATCAAGAAACACGCTTCCAGAACCCCCCACCCCGTGTCCCTCTCTGCTAGTCACAGACCTGCCTAGGAGCTGCAGGAACCTCCTGCCCACTCGTGGAAGCGCTAAGCATAAACAGGGAAATCGCTTCCCCTTCAGGTTGCTTGAGGCCACAAAGCTTGCTTGAGTAAAGGGCAGCAGGTTCCCACCTCAGGACAATCGGGCCCAGAAACAGAGTGGAGGTGGGGCAAGGGGGGTGGGAGACAAGGTTCCACACCTCTGGGGTCTTCTGAGTCCTCGGGAAGCTGGGCCTGATGGCTCAGCCGCTCTCTGCCTGGGGAGCCTGGTACCCTGACACCTGCTTGGTCCTCCTGTCCAGCTTCCGCTGCCCCTGTGTCTCTAGGAGCGACGGGCAGAGCAGGCGCCTGGGTTTCTGTCCTCTCCTCTACTCTGGGCCCGGGACTGGGGCACAAGCGCACGTCCTGGAGTGTGGGCCGCTTTGCCGGGGGCTTCTGGGCAGTCTCGGAGGCGGTCTCCCCACCCTGACGGGCGGGGTCGGTGCTGGCCCAGCTGGCGCGCCTCTTGCTGCTTTGGGAGCCCTGAGAAGGCGGTGCCTGCTTCTCAGCGGGCTCGCTCTCACTGGAAGGCCCCTCTGGAGGTCTGGCCTCGGGGTCTTCTCTCTGAGTGTCAGTGTCCTCCTCTTTCTCTTTCAGCCGCACCGAGTGCAGGAGCCAGGGCTGGGCAGAGGCCATGGTCACCAGCCGAACAGAGTTGCCGCCGACTTCCAGCACCTGGTGTCGCTCCAGGAGGTCCTAGGAAAAGCAGGAGACACACCGGGTCTGTGCGAGACCCCAGGACCATCAGGGTTTGCTTCCCCCGCCTGATGTGTTCCAGCCTTCAGGGCAGACAATTCGAGGATGAGGCTGGGCTTCCAGCCCCGGGTCAGCCACCAGCTGCCCTGTGGCTCTGGGGTAGTCCTGTTCCTCTCTAGGCTCAGTGCGCCTTACTTGTAAAACAAGTCAGATGCATGAACTTCTTGGAACCACAGCTGTGCCCTCGAAGTTTACAAGTCTCTTTCCCCCACAGGACCTCACACCCCGACACCTGAGTGCTATCAAGCTCTTCTGCAGTAACCATTATTATTCCCAGACGAATGACAATAACCTCTCTCGCATTCATACTGTGCCCTGCTTCCAATGTCCTTGTTCTTTTCTAGGACCTGTACCAGCTCTGGGCGGCACGCAGGGTCACCATCATCTTTCTTTTAATTTTCCTATTAAAATCTCACAAGTCAGGGTTCAAGGAATTTGCCCCGAACCAGACCTCACGTCCAGGTCATGTGGGTCTGGGGGGTTTGCTGGGGGTACCTGCCCTCTGGGCCTCTGGGCCAGACACCAGGGAACCGAGGGAGCTGCCTGACCGGTCACCTCTGCTGCCTGGGCTCCACACCGAGGCCTGGGGACAATCCCCATCCCTCACCTCCCCGGGCTCCAGGTGCATCAAGACTTTTATGGAAAATTGAACCCCCGTGAACAGCAGCAGCTCCTATTTCCTGCACTCCTCAGAACTTGCTTGGTAACCACAAACATTGGCCCCCGTCCTCCTCTCCCTCATGACACTGCAAGGCAGGCATCTCCACGACAGCACTAACAAGGGACAAGCATCCGACGGCCTCCACCTCCTGACGATGTGCAGGAGGGCGGCCAGGTCCCAAGGCGCTCTATTTAAGAGGTCCATCTGCTGTTACATTCCTTAGGTTCAAGGGCCACTGACGCAAATGGGCCCAGGCAGGTCAAGTGGTGAGCAAAGGGGCTCCAGCCAATTATGCTGAGGGAGCAAGACCCAGTCTGGCCAGACCTTCTAACATTCAGGAGAAAGCTGAGTTTTAGGCAAAACCTCCTATTTTTAAATATAGACAACTAATTCATTTAAAAAAAAAAAAACAATAACGTTTTATGTCTATGTCCTAAACCAAGTGCATCTGCAGTGTGTACTTGGCTTGTGAATTGCAACTTGTGCTTTAGCTACCCCAGGCTACCTAAGGGCACAGCTCACCTGGACGTAGTCTGTGAAGGTCCTGGTACGCTCACCATCTGCCCTCGCAAACGAGGAGAACCGTCTGCTCAGCTCTGCCTTGTCCACCCCAAAGCAACCGGCAGCCGCAACAGCGCCCTGGACCTCCAAGGCGGCAGACACATCTCCAGGTTTATACCCGGACAGCTCCACCTGGTGGACAAACTCTTCTAGGCTGCAGGCATCTTCTTGGCTATTTATCAGCCTGGTAAACATGTCGGGGAGGCAGGAGGTTCCCACCGTTAGCTCTTCCAGAGAAGTGTCTGCGAAGATAAGAGGATCAGAATGGGCCCTGACAGAAGCCCCTCCCCAGGCCAGTGCTCTAGTGTTACTGTGGCAGCACGTGCTCCAGTGCCAACTCACTGCTCCCCAAACAACGAGGGGTCACCTTCTGGGTAGACACCGTTTGGCCCCTGGCAGTCAGGTTCCTGAGACATGCCCCAGGGTCCTTGACTGCAGTCAACAGGGCTGGATTCCCCAGGGCCCAGTATGATTCTCCTGCTTAAGACTCAAAGTGAGGGGCTCAGAGGTGCTGGCTTTTGAAAACTGTGACCCTGAACTTCTGGAGGGGAGGTCTTCAACTTGGCCGGCCCTCGGCCCCACCCTTCGCGATGCGCCACGCTTGCTGCCCCTCAGACTCTGTGAGCTACCCTGGGACTCTTCCGCAAAGCCCCGCTCATGCGTACATGAGCCCTGGCTGCTACCTGCTGCTTCCTGTAAAGGTATGTCTGCTAAAACCATAGTCTCAGGTTATCACTAGTTTGCCTGGGACAAGCTCCAGACAATACACAAAATACTAACTGTGGTTACAAAATCAAAAGTAAACACCATCCACCTTGACTTGTAAAAATAAAGTTAAGTCTGACACAGGAAGGAAAGGGGCAGAAAGGAGGAAGAGAAATGCAGGGAAGAGGACTCTAATATTCTCATTTTATGTAGAGGGAGGAGGACTGCTTAAAATTGAGAGTACAGAAAACGGAGGTTTAAGTCAATTATTTAAAGTTTCAAAGGTAATCAATAGAACAAAAAAACGTATAAAAATTGGAAGGAGGTTAGAAATAACAAATGTAAGCAAAAGTCATTATCCATAGTAAGAAATCAAAATACTTAAAAATTTCATAAAAATTCATAATTTAGAGTTACAAAGGGAACCAGAAGAACTGAAGACAGAACAGTGAGAAAGCTGCCAGGAGAGCAGGCTAGGGCTTGGGGGGCGGAGCACGGGGACTGCTGCTGTTAACACTTGCATGAGTGACTGATAAAAAGAAAATGTTGCTGTGGAAGCTCGAACATGAGTGTGGGCACCGCCCGGAGGCTCCCCAGCGAGGGGGCAGCAGTAAAGGCGTCTGGGACACGCGCTCCTCCAGCCAGCTGCCTGGGGAGAGGCGTTTCTCTTTGTTTTTGCCTCAGCCTCAGTTGGCTGCGGCTCCGTACTCGGCCTTCAGAGCTGGAGGTTGGGGGGTTGGGGGGTTGGGGAGTGGGAGGGCTGGCGGGGGCGCTCCCCCGTCGGCCCGAGCTGGGTAGGGGCGGGGCTCTGGCGGAGCCGGAACTTCACGCGGCAGGAGTTCACCACGATGCTGTCGTTGGGGTTGAGGTTGCGGGTGCTGACGATGCCGGGGGCGCAGTAGCCCCTCATCAGTAGGTAGTTGGTGTGTGAGGCTTGGCGGGCTTTCACCTCGATGCTCCGGCGCTTGTCCCCCGGGTCTTCGTCCAAGTCTTCCTCTTCGTCCTCGTCCTCGTCCAAGGCCCCGTCCTTCCCCAGGCTGGGAGAAGACAACTGCCCTGGGTGACGGAGCTCAGGCCAGCCTGTCTGCTGCCCTGCCGCCCGCATGGCGCACACCACCGCCCTCAGAGTGCCTGTGGTTCAGACCAGCCTGTCTGCTGCCCTGCCGCCCGCATGGCGCACACCACCGCCCTCAGAGTGCCTGTGGTTCGGCCTGAGCAATGGCCTGCAGTCACTGAGGACACCCTGGGCCTCTGGCTGTGAAGGTCAGCAGGGACTGCCACTCCAGATCCCCTTGGCCCACCTTCCCACACGCTGCACTCACCCGTTCACATACCTGCGTCTTCGTAAGTGCTATTTCTTTGGCTGAAAACCCTTCCTAGTCTGTCTAAAAGAAGGCCTACTTCTCATCAAATCCCGGTTCCGTTATTACGTGTTCAAGGAAGCTGTGCCAGTCCTACCTTCTCTGTTGACCCCTCCTCGCCACACTGTACCGTGTCCTTCTCTTTGGCATAGCCAAGTCACGCCTCCTCTGGTGCCCCTGGCGCCCGAGGCACTGGCAGGAGGCCCTGGCCCGAACGTGGCGCGGGAATTCCCGGCTCAGAGGTCTGAGGCCCCATCTTGTGAGGCCCCATCCTGTGAGGCCCCCGCAGGCACCGCCTCCGCTGTCTGCACAGCAAATGCCCACGCAGTGCCGGCCCAATGCACAGCAAGTCAGCACACACTTGTTGAATGAATACAGACCGGATGACTGAGCAAATGAAGCTGCAGACACCACATCATGAGGAAGTGACGACCCAGAGCTGCACTGAGAGCGGCGTGCGCAGCACCAGTGTGACTGTTGAGGGCTCAGCCCTTACCTCTTCATCACCTCGTTCTCCACCATCGAACTGTCCACCACCACGATCTGCTCGGGGATCCTGACATCCACGGCGACAAGGCCCAAGGAGAGGAGGGTCAGGGCGGCCACACAATGTCCTCCAGGGCCGTCCAAAGAAAATGCCACCAGGTCATTTGAGGAGTCATTATTATCCTGGTCTTTGAAGGAAAAATTATCAGGCTGGTCCAACTTGCCGGCAGCCCGGATTCTGTCGAAGAACTGGAATGATTCAGTGCAGATGGTGCTTGGAAATCGCCACGTGAAGATCCTACAGACAGAAGGCAGGTGAGAGCCTTCCTGAGGACGGGACGTTGGAGGCCTTCACTCAGACAGGCTACGCACGCTTCAAATCACTGTGGTCCAAACTAAACATACCAGCTTCTCTTCCACCTCAAACGATGGTGCTGCATTTCAGCCTAACTGTGCATCTCCTCCACTCACCTGAGCACCTTTGAGGCGGGGTCACGTCTTTTTATCTAACTATATGCCTCGCAGGCACTCACTATAGGTGCTATTTGGGGAAAATGAATGTACTTTTTGTATTAACATTCTTTACAAGGCAAGCCCTGAACCCATACAGAGAAGAGGGCATGCGAAAGGTGACTGCAGAGACGTGAGCTCTTGCCTCTGCCCAGAGTATAACTTCCTAAGACTCTGCAACAGCAGAGACAGAGGGACCTGGGAGGTCAGAGAGAGGGACCCAGGTCTTCCTGATCTGCTGACACCACCTCTCGGCTCAAAGATGAGGATGCTGCAGTCCAAGAAGTGGCTTGAGGTAAAGTGGCCTTGTTGGACTTGGGGGTGCATATCTTTTGCCTCCTAGGCCACGGATGTTTTTATCACATCAGGCCGCTCCCTGGGGAGGCAAAGGAGACTGAGGGTCACTAGGGATGGGTGTTTAGGAAAGGAGCAAGTGTCTGAAGTCACAGGCAGAGAGATGGATAAAAGAAACGAAACAATATTCATGTTGTTGCTGTTTTTGAATGCGGCTTCTGCAGATCTGAGGACTGGTCAGGGGAGCAGCACGGAGAAGGGAAGGGTCAGCCAAGGAGAACTGGGACTATTTTAATGGACTTCCTCTGTGTGGTTAAGGAGGCTGGGGGTGCAGAACACCCTACGCGCAGCGAAGACCAGCATGCCTGAGGCTGGCATGGCGCCACGCTGGGAGCTGCGAGGGGTGCTCCTTTTAGGAAGCTCCAGGAAGTCCACACCACCACTCAGATTGCTGTGCCGCAAACCGAGTCTGAGAAACACCTGATGGCTTCAAAAGGAAGCGTGTGCGCCCGTAAGATGGGCGCTTGCTGCCGCTCCGAGTATGAGGGTTAGGGATTGTGGTTGTGCCCAATGAGGAGGGTGCGCTTTTAACTGGATCAATTGTTAAATGAGAAACTCATCTTACCCGATTTGACAGGAGAAAGGGAAATGAACTACCTACAAAACTGGTAAATGCCCAACACAAAATACTGCCAAGGGTTAACCTTATGCCCACACAAGGAAGGCCAGGTGTGGATGAGAAAACTCATTCCCAGAGGCTACATCTTGTACACGAGGCCACGAGAGGCCCCAGGCGCCAGGCCCTCTGATGAAGATGGGTGTCCTGTTACTTCCACTCACATGCGCTACCCAGGCTCGGCCTCTGACCTGGGTCTCCGGCCTTTCCCCAGCCCAGGCTGAGAGCTCCTGAGCAGGTGCTCACCTGTAGTAGGTCTGGGACAACTGGTAGGACATGGGCACAAAGGGCAAAGCCCGGTTTTTCTTTGGGCCCAGCGTGTGGTTGACCCGGCGCCGGTTGACCAAACTCCTCTTCTGGCATTCCATGAAGGCCTTCACGAGAATCTGGTCCTTATACTCCCGGTACAGGCGGAATGTCTGCAACACAGCCAGCCGTGAGTGAGCACACTTCTCCAGCGCCTGCGTGAACAGCCGGGTCACGTGGCTGCTCAGAGTAAAGCTGATGGTCTAGAGGAAGTAACTAGTGTGGGGATGGGGGATGGGGAGGCTGGAGCTGACACCTGGGGGTGTGGTAGGGGCAGGCCTGATCCTGACTATCATCCTTCACCCCCACCATCATGTCACACCTCAGAGACCACAGAGGAGGACAGGTTCGTGGAGAGAAAGGAAGGCTCTGCACTCCACACCTATTTCTTGGGATGCAGCTGCCAGGAGTCAATGCGGACTCGCTCGGGATACCACTCTTTCTTATTCCTTGCCCAACCCATCAGCATGTCTGGTAGGCTCGACCCCAAAAACATGTTCTCAGTGCATCTGGTTCATGCCATCTACACTGCCACCATCTAGTTCACACCATCATTTTTCACTGCAGCTTCCAGACAACTGCTCTCTCTGCTTCTACATGTGCCACCTCCCTCAGCCCCTGACCATTCTCCACAGCAAAGTAATCCTTTGATGTCCAAGTGAGACACATGTTCCTTCCCAACCTCAAACCCTGATGGCTTCCTCCTGACATCCACTGTCACTATGCTGGACGAGGACCCCTGGGAGCAGGACCTTGCCCACTCCGGCCCTGCCTCCAAGTCCAGCCCTCATCAGAGCACTGGGATTTTGGAGGTCACTGGATCCTGTGCCTATACCTTTCAAAGATGAAAGCAGTGAGGGCCAGAGTCTCCCCAGTCCCAGAGTGCTTCTGCGAAGCTGATGCTGGGTCTCCGACACCCACCTGGAATGACTGGCAGGACTTCATCTGGCTGTCGGAGAGGGCCAGTGTGCTCTGGATCAGGTTCTGGAGCACCAGGAAGTGGATGTCCTCCACGCTGGAAGAGAGGGCGGCAGAGCGGCATGAGGCCTCAAGGCACCGCTCGTCCTGGGTAGATTCAGCTCTCGTTAAAAAACAATTTTCAATCTCATAAAAGTGACCTGAATTCCCAAACTATTCGTAAACCAAAACAAAATAAATGATGGCTTTTAAGCCTTACTAACTGGTCAATTTTTGTAGGAAAAAAGTTTCAGCCTAGCGGGTAAGGGGGGGACGTAACCTGGATACGGATTTTCACAACAACGAACAAATGTGGTTAAGTGCTTATATTTTCCTTTCATCCAATTTTAACAAGTTTTTCTCCAAAGAAAATAGGCTTCTTACTGAAATATAGAGCTAAAATCGAACAGACTATTGGTAATCCAAGATGAAAAAAAAAAGCTGAGCTTTCCAACCGGAGTTTTGCTTGGAAAGCTCGTGGGCTGAGATTTCAAACCCTTCCCCAGCCTATCTTAAGGCCAGGCCAGTGATATGTGAGTTTAGAATTGTGCAAACTTTTTCTGTAAAAGGCCAGATGATAAATAATTCAGCCTCCATGGCATATCTTGTCTTGTCACAACCACTCAACTCTGATGAGCTGATGAAAGCAGCACAGACAGCACACGGAATGGGTGTGGCTGCATTCCAATAACACTTTATTTACAAAAGCAGGAGGCTGGCTGGATCTGGCCCTAGATGACCCCTGTGCTAGGCTGTAGGCCACCCAATCAAGCAGCTGAGGGAAAGGAACTCGGGATGCCAGTCCTTGCCTATTAAGTTCATCCTCCTTTCTGATTTGATCTTTCTCATCTCCAATCGCCAGAACTCGGTATCTGCGTAAGAAAACAAAAAAAGAGCATTTCAGTGCAACAAAGTGGACCTTCGCTAACAGAGGTGCAGCTTGCTCAAGACCACCATTTATTTTATTTTATTTTTTTAAAAAAATATTTATTTAATTGAAGAAATTATTTAAATTTTCCCCCCCGTCTTCCTCCCTCCTCCCCCCTACCCTCTGGTAACCACTAGTCAGTCCATTGTCCATTGTCCATGTCCATGAGTAAGACCACCATTTATTGACTGAAATGTTGAATAAAATGTTAAACTCATTAAAATTCAAACATGTACATGTAAAATGAGAAAATGCTGTATTTTGTCCAACAAATGAGCATGTTAAAAAAATGAGGGTTGAGAAAACGAGGGATGTTTAGTTACTGACAATTATGAAGCTGTACAGGAAAATGTGCACAGCGGGAGCTGCTGTTAATTGTTGAGGGAGGAGGATATAAAATTGTGGGCTTATAATGATCAAAAACACAAGAATGAAGACTAGAAGAAAATACCCCCAAAGAGAATAGGTATTGAAATTACAGATTATTTCCCCCTTTTTTTTTCTTGAGCTTCATGTAATGCTTTCCTGTGTTCATACCAAGCGAATAAACACAAGAATAAATCGTAGAACTACTTTTCAGAAAACATGGCCATTTATTTGTAAGCCATTTCTTTGGTTTCTATAAGACTAAAGTCAAAATTCATTTTTGCAATAGTAAATTCCTCCTAAAATTTAGTAGCAAGAAAAAGCACCTTTTTAGAAAAACAAGTGAACTATTTTTAGTCAAACAAGGAAATATTGGGAACCATTTTCTTTTTTGCCTTGCCTCTCAGAATGGTCAAGGTCAAATTTAGTGTTAAACTGTTATATCTGGAACTTTTCCTTTCTCTCTTAGTGGTCTCCAACCTTTTTGGCTCAGGGACCGGTGCTCTTATGAGAATCTAATGCCTGATGATCCGAGGTGGAGCTGAGGTGGGGATGCCCGCGCTGGGGAGCGGCTGCAAATACAGATGGAGCTTCCCTCGCTCACTTGCCCCTCACTTCCTGCTGTGTGGCCTGGTTTCTAATAGGCCACAGCCAGGGGGATGGGGACTCCTGTTCTAAATGGTTCAGGGTTCCTAATAGGCCACAGGTCAGTACGGTCTGCGGCCAGGGGGATGGGGACTCCTGTTCTAAATGGTTCATGAACTATCCTTTAAAAATCTTTAACTGTCTTCTTTTTCAAACTAAAAGTTGTTCCATAACTTCACTGAACATATGTGGGGATACAAGTTACAGATGGGTGAACAGGACATGTGAAACATTTTCATGACTGAATAAGAACTGTGCCATTAAGGAAACTGGGGAACAGTTTACTGCCATGAACAAAACCACAACCCCCCAAAAAGCTAAATAAAGGCTGTCAACTCTGAAAATGACTACGAATTGCTCTTTAGGCCTGGCATACAGCTGGCACCACATAAATTATTTGTTGAACAAATGAAAGAATGAGCTCTCCAATGGAAACGCAAAGGGCTACATGCAAAGGCATCGTACAGTTCACACACAGGAACAGGTCGATGGGTGTCATCTCCTTACAGGAAGGAATTCAGAAATACGGTGGCTAGAGGGACTATCTGGATGAGGATGGTGAAGAGAGAAGATTCACTTTGGGATTAAACAGAGGGAACAGGCCTGGTTCACAGAACACAAGATTTTAAAATTTCACAGAGTTCTGTGCTCAAACCCAAGTACGTTTTACTCCAGATGCCGAGTGGTTGAGCTGGAAGGGCTGGGCCTCTTGAGTTAGACCCACCGAAGTTCAAATCCTGGCCCTATTGCTCACAAGCACTGTGACCTTGGGCAAGTTACTTTCATTTCAGTTTCCTCGTATGTAAAATGTACAATCTTAGCAAAAGCACAGCAACCACCTGAGAAAGCCTCAGCTAAGTCAGCAGCAGGCCTGCGTGGGAGATTGAATAGGAGTGTCTGGGGGGCTGGGGATGGGAGTGGCTTCCTCATTTTTGAGTTTCAGTGATAGGGGGTGAGGTGGTCCGGAGTCAGGAGACACAGCAGGGTTAGCTGCAGGGCCAGGTGGGCCTGCTATCAGGGGAGACACTGTGGCCATCCCAGTCGGTAACTTTTCCTTTTGTCCCATAAGAATCACACAGAACCTCCCAGAAGAATCTTACCTGGCAAATAGCTCCTGGAGTGTGTCTGGGATTTCAAGGTTAGGATTCTTCAGGGATGAACTGAACTTCTCTTTAAGCTTTTCCACGAATTCTTTAAATTCGTTGGCACAAACCTTTTAACATGAGAGAATGATATGTTAAGCCCTTTCTCTCCCTGAAGGGTCTTGCTAATATACACCAAAAAAACCCAACCAAACAAACAAAAAAACAAACTTGTAACAAACTCCAGTGGCAGTGACCTCCCAGAAATGCTGACCGAGAAGTGCTGCTGCTTCTGCCTTCCTGCACCCTGCCCCCCACCCCCAGCCCACCGACTCCACCTGGGAAGGGGAGAGATGCTCAAGCCCTGTGAGATTTTCTGTCACTTGCATCATAGGCACTCCTGGAGCACCTGACGCCAAAGAGCACGCTGACAGCCTTCACACCTGCACCGCCAGCCCTCCCAAGTCCCAGATGAGAAGACCCGAACTTTCCTGCACACTCCCCGAATGCCCACCACGTGCCCCCATTAGCAGGCTTGTGTTCTCGTCACCTCCTTCCTCCCAGGTCTGTTCCTCCCTGGCTCACCCTTTCCAAGTTTACCTCCTTCCTCTCCTCCACCTCCTCGCTCAACTGTGGTACCCAAATCAGTCCCCTCCTATACACCCGCACCGCCACCAGCCCAGTCCAGACCTGGATCACAACGCGGGCTCCTCACTGCCCTACTATCTCCACTCTCACACCTCCAATCTCTCTTCCGGGGTGTGGCCAGCAAACTGACCAAGTGTCCAACACAGGATGAACCCACCTCCCTCCCTACTATCTCTCTCTGTGGCTCTCCCAACACCACACCCATGGGTCACCTCATTCCCCCTTCCTTCACGGTCTTCGCTTCAGCTGGTCCCCCATCTTAGGAGTCTGGATTCAGTGCTGACACTTTTAAGAGCCCTCTGTAGTAGATGCTGTTGGTCGCCTACTTCCTTCATCCCTTTCTTTCTGAGGAGGGAAGCCGGCCCTGCCTTGGTTTGGGGAGGAAGCACACCAGCCCAACTGGATGAGTCAGGATGGGTCTAAGGCAATGATGGCAAGTTCAGGGGCTTCTGAGAAGGGCTGTTCCCTCCCTGATGTAAGGTCCCACTGGGATCAGTGCAGCCCCTCTCCCCACTTCTTCCAGCCCCCAGATTCTGCTGTGAGGACCCGAACTCCAGCAGTCAACCAGCAACCATGAGGTGACTGGCATGAGGATGGACAGCTAACTGCTAGGGACCAGAGAGGTACAGTGACAGAATGAACCTGGGTCCTTGACGGTATCTTTGCTTTGCCTCGCACGCCCAGGACTGCCTACCTCTGCACTGCTTGGCATATGAGAAAACAAAGCCTCAGCCCCTGTGAGGTTGTTTTGTCTGTCACTTGTATTACAAGCTCTTCTGGTACTCCCTCCGTGACCTCAGCGCGCCTGTGCTTTCCTCTCTTGGGGTGGCTGCACTGTTCTGCAGAGCTCATTTACTCCTCCGCCTGTCCCATTGCCCTGTGGCTCCCTCAGAGAAAGGATGGATCTTTATTTCGATTGGCCTGGCCTGGCATATGTCTCACACACACATAGTGCGGACCGATTTTAGCTCAACGTGTGACTCAGTGGACTCTGAGCAGAAGAGCAGAGACGTCTGGGTCTGGAAAGACAGCCCCCTTTCCTTTATAGCCACAGTCTCAGCCTCACCTGGACAGAAAACTCAGAAAGGATTTCATACTCAATCCGCAAGCTTTCCAGGAAGTCAAGCTGTTTGCAACTTGAGCTTCCTATTTTTTTAACAAAATAGGTCCAAGGAACAGCAGCATTGCAAAGCAGCATGTCAAATTCTAACCATCTTTAAAAACTAAAGCTGGAACCAGATCAAACGAGGTCCAAAGCCAAAGAACCGACAAGTCAATTTCCCAAACGAGCAGGAAAAAGCCCATGTTTGTAAGAACAGCAGAAGTACCGCGAGACCCATAGTACCAGACCAGAACCTAGAAGCCCCTGCTTCCCGAGCAGGCCGAGCCCAGCCACCGCATGCGGCTTACCTTTGGATCTTCATAGTCACGTTTTCGATTCATAAAATCTCCGACGAGGGCCTTATCCTGGTATACCTCAGCCAGGCACACCCTGCAGAGAAGACCAAACGCGGGCAGAAACTGGCATGACGTCCACGCCCAGAACCCAAAGAAGATCTCTGGCCTCCCATTCTGGCTTTCTCCAACCATGAACTGTCATTTACTTATACACCTGTTGTGTGATTATAGCTTTTAAAAATGAAGGATTTGGGCTCAGCCAAACCTGATTAGAAGCAGGCCTGTTACTGCTCACATGTTATACCTTGGCTTCTCTGAGTTTCCATCCTCTACGTGTCAGCCGAGACCAGTTAACTCCCACCTGCCCTCACAGGGACTTGGCCAGGACCAAATGAGACGACTTGTGTGAAAGTGTATTATAAATTGAAAAATATTATACAGGCACTAGTGCTTTTTGTTGTCAAGAGCGTTAACTTCCTCCAAAGCACTATTTGTCCACTCCATACATTTCCTTCTCTCCAGGACGTAAGGAGAGCCTGACTTGCCCAAAAGGAAATGAGGGAAAGGAAATGGAGTTTGCTGGGCTCCTATGAGCTGGGCACTTCACCTTCATAAAGGGCCTGCAAGGCAGAGGCTGTAATTGCATCGTATAGCTTGGTGAGGTAAAGGAACCCCTGAGGTCACACATGTGCCAACGGCCGGGGCAGGTGGGGCAGGTGTGGTTATTGCTGGTTTATCCTGTTTGCAGGTGAGGAAACAGCCTCTGAGTGGATGAACATGCGTCCAGGTGCCGCAGCTCTGAGCTGCAGTGCAGATGGAGACCCAGGCCTGCTCTCTCCATAGCCCTGTGTGCTCCACTTCCCCGGGCTGCTGCAAACAAGTGGCAGAGTGGCAGGCACGGGCCCCCAAGGTCCAGATTTCACCTCACTGCCAGCTCACTGTCACCCTGGCTGACTTGCCTCTCCCTGTGGCTGTTTCCACTCTGAAAAAAGAGCCATTTAGACCAGGCAATCAGGACCCTTTCAGATCGAAAGGTTTAAGATTCCATGCATGGGGGACAGTGGTTTCACATGGGAAGGCTCCTTGGTATGTGTAACCTAATGGTTCTCAGCTGGGGTGACTTGGCCCCCCAGGGGACATCTGGAGACAGCTGGGTGTCACATGGGGGGTGCTACTAGCATCTAGTGGGTAGAGGCAGGGATGCTGCTAAACATCCTACAGTGCACAGGACAGCCCCACAGCGAAGAATTATCTGGTCCCAGATGTCTCCAGGGCTGAGGATGAGAAACTCTGGCTAGAGCTGTTTCCTCAGCAGTCCAAATCTGGGCTGATTTCTTTACAGTCTGGCTGACTGCAGGCAGCCCACGGCACAGAATAAACCCAGAGCCAAGCTCTCCTACTGGCCCATGGCATAAATGACCAGTTGGTGGAGATGGTACTTCCTAACCCTGCCAGTGTCCCCTCCTGGCTCTATTTCTAGTTGTACACTTGGGCACCTCTCCCAACACTTGGATGCTCTCTGGTCCCCCCAACTTAAGCCCACACCTGTGGAGCAGCTGGGGAGGAATCTGATGAGGATGGTGACAGCTTTTTGCCTGGGCCCTGTGAGGCAATGGGACGGCGGTGGGTGGGTGGGCAGCCTCACTGGCAAAAGATAAACCACAAGGGGAATGCTTTGTAACTCCCAGCCAGCTGCCATCACCGCACATACCAGGCCATAAGTGGGAAACCCTTAGGGAACACCCGCCCCGCTGAGGACATGGCTGCGTGCATTTGGTCCGATGACCCTGGGCCTGTCTAGCTTGTTCCTGGAGTGAGGCCTGGCACTCATATGGAGATATCGAGAGCTGCTCTGGAGTGCTGAAAACAGTAGTGAGAGTTGGCAGATGCCTCTGCCTCTACATGCTATGTACGTGATATTCAGTAAGTCACCTAACCTGTTTGGCCTCTGTTTCTTTATCTGTAACAAAGGATAACAGCCCCTTTCACAAGGCTGTCCTAATGTCTAAATAACATCTTGCACAAGAAAGTGCCCAGAAGCACACCCAGTCCCCTCAATAAACCAAGGACAACCTCACTAGTAAGCACCAGCGCTTGGACAGAAGGCTGGTGTGCTGCAGCACAACTCAGAGCTCTACCTGGATTTTACACTGGACCTTTGAGCATAAGATAGAGAAGAGTAAAGAATGAACTAGAAGCACTGGATTAACACTGCCATGGAATTAGGAAATTCAAATAAGGCTTACTTATAGTTCAGATAGGCTTGTGGGTTTTTGATTATGTAGCGAGCTCTTCGTCCGACCGAATGAGATGTTTTATCCAAAGACTCTTCAAAGGTGGCATGCAAAATGTCCCGCACAACCTGCCAGGGGACGAACGGGCCCTTCACCTGCACCAAACACAGAGCCAAGACGGGAAATCAGCACCCTTGGAGCCCATGTCATGGGTCATGGACACAAAAGGGTGCGAAAAATATGTTCTGTATACCCTCCTGTCCAAGCTGCCACCTTGTGTGTTTACTTGATCACATTAACTTGGCATCGATGATATGCCTGGCACTGACCGAGGTGCTGGGCAGAGAGGAATAAGACAAGTCCTCAGAGTCCTGTGGGAAAAGAGTGCTCGGAGCTGCTGGGGAGGACTGACTGGAAGGGCAGCACGCGAGCAGAGGTTATGAGTATATAAAACGTGCTTAGTGAGAGGGTTTTACAGGCTTCATTATATGTTATGTATGCTCAGAAACATTCTGCATATTGTGCTTGTATGTTACGTTAGTAGAGACAGAATGTGCTAAATTAGCAGACTCAGGAGAACACCTTGGTCATGTGCAGGAAGGCAAAGCCAAGATAAGTTAGGGCCTTGATGACAAGGTCATTTTCTTATAACCCCAGAATGAAGTGGCCCAAGAATATGGTGTAAATTCGCGTGACTGAGTGGAGGGTCTGCTGACCCTGAAACGTGCAGGACTTTCCTGGCTCCTCCAGCTGCATCGAAGGTGGGTGGAGGCAGGGAACAGAAACTGGGGACAGCAAAAGTCACCTTCAGGTTCTTCCTTGGAGAAGAGACAGGGTTAGATTTAGGAGGGGGCAGAGGCGTGAGAGAATCTGAGAAAATGGCCAAGAAAAGGGATCTATTGAGCCTGCAGGCAAAGAACATCCAGACATAGGACTGTGAGGGCGCTTCTCTTGGCTGCATGCTTGACAACAGGAAACACCAACAGGGCTCTTATGAAGCTGCCTCACCCGCTCTACTTCAAGCATTATTTCATGCAAGGGGACCTAGGCTGGACAATGGCGGAGCTCAGTCTCCTGGTGGCTTCTGTAAACCAGTTTGATGGGGCATTTGCTCACCCAGATTGCTCTCCCCACGCCTTGCTGCAAACTGAGGAAATAAGAAGAGCAAAGCTGGCAAGAATGGACAGACTAGAAGTCACTGAGGCTGCTTTGGGGAACATGGTGAGGCGATGGACTCTGGCTAGGGCTGTGGAACCATCTTGGAGACAGTGACATGAGAGGAAGTGGGAGAGTTTGCTAGACAGGGAGCACCCACCGGGATTCAGGAAGACACACGGGTGTGGGAACTGTGGGGTTAAACATGGGGGCGTGAACTGCAAGAAAGCAGGAGAGCCAGGCAGAGGCCACTGCACTGTTCCACACTCACTCTGTAAATACCAACTGAGAGGTTACTGTGTGGCAGGCACCACGCTAGGGGCTGCAGCAATGAAAACAAATAAGAAGTCGCTTTGCCTTGAGAAACAGTCACTCCAGAGGGCTGAGATGCCAGGGGCAACAGGAGCAGCGTGAAAAGTGTACGTCCAAGAGACAGAATGAGAACACAGTAATTACTCCCATTTGGCAGGATCAATGAAGCCTTTCCAGAGATGATAAACAGTTACTAAAAGAGAAATTGGAGTTTTTTGGGCAGATGAGGGTCGGGGGAGGGGAGCAGGAACCGGTTAGATTCCCGATGAAGATGAAGAGGGAATAGCTTTGGACTACTTTGCCTGCAGCCAGAAGATTTGCATGTATTAGCTGAAGTCTGGAAAGAAACATGCAAAAATGGGAGTGGTGTTAATTTGTAGGATACTGGGAAATGCTTTTTCCAGAGGCCGAGAGAAGTAGATGAGATGAGTGGCCCCCCTGCATGGGTGGAACAGGAAAGAGCTCCCCAAGAGGGACAAGCAAGTGAGCTGGCTGGAGGCTGGGAGGAGCAGGGGGCCAGGGGGCAGAGTACCTTGGTGTTGAGGACGTTGCTGGCAATTCGGCAGAGCATGAGCAGCCCATCTTCCTGCATGGACCAGGTGACACGCAGCCGGGTCATCCTCTGCAGGGCGCTCTGGTCGGCCTCATCGTGGTAACGCAGCCTTTTGCTTTTTTCTTCTGGGAGCTCTTCTAAGAACACCAAGGGGAGAAGGGAGGGAGCCTCTAACAACTGGCTTGGAGCTGTCACTCTGGAGAGGCGAAGGGTCCCTACCCAGCTAGTAAGATTTGACCAAGGGTCTCAGTTATCAGAATCTCATTGTGTTAGAAGCCATATAAACTAACCACAAAAGACAGTCCTTCCTGATAGATTTTTTTTTTTTTTAATCCTTTTCATCATCTCTTTAGTGGAATTTCACAGTGATGGGCTGGGCAACCTGAATACAGCCTCCTGTTAGTTATCTGCCAATCTTCAATCCTTACTGTGGTGCCAAGCCCTTTGAAGATGCCTTCACAGAAGCTTGTGGAACATGCTCAGGGCTGAATGGTTGGGCTCCTACTGTTTCCCTGCTCTGTGACCTCAGAGATGGTGTGTGAACTCTGGTGCACCATGGGGACAAGGCTTATCCTACAGGGCTGCCTTAAGGACTGAATGAGACTGGGTATAAAACACCCAATGCAGCGCCTGACACAATGTAGCTACTAAATAAAGAGTAATAGTTGCTAACTCTATGGAATATTTACTATGTGCCAAACACTGGTTTGAGCTTTTTATGTACATTAATTTATAATTAGAATAATACTTTGCAACAATCTTGTAAGAAAAGGAATCTGAAACACAGCAGGATCCAGCAACTTGCCCAAAGTCACACAGCTAAGTAGCAGACAAAGAATTTGAACTTGAGGTCGTAACCACTAGTTTTTCCCAGGTCTCTTCTTTTCAGGGGAGATACTGATGGGAGTTTCATGAGGTAGACACCACAAGCTACTGCCAATTCCAAAACACTATTTAGTGAGCTTCTCCTAAATTAAGGCAGAAGAAAAGTCGGGCAGGAAAATCTGGATTCAAAGTGCCACCACCACCACCGTATTTTCCTTGTAATGAATTCGGGTCTTTGTGAGCCAAACTGATCTGACACATATCTGGACAGGCTAAACTGAGGGGTCATTTCAACTGATGCAAGGCTATTTGTTATGCATACCGGCCACATGAGCCACTAAAAACAGGGTCCTGTTTAAACATTATTTTCATCTGAAATAGCAAGCTATCATACCACTATTAAAATACACAGACCACTTAGGTGCTATACAAAGTGGTCTAAAAGGTACCGGTCTCCTCGCTGCCCTCTTCTCCTCCTTCACTATAAATCTGCCCAGGTGAAGAATCCGAAATGGCAATCGAAAAGGAACCACACCTGAGGGCTTCATGAGATCAGAAGAGATTCCGTAAGCATTAATGACTCTTGTTTTCCTCTGGTTTAAAAATATAACAAGCCTTGAATTTTGGCCTGATTAGCATAAATGCAGATATTAAAAGGTAAACCAAAAGAATAAAACAATTTTGGTTATGATGAGGATTTTACTGAGGATTTTTGCTAAGATTTTTTGAGTCGAGATAAAATTAGAAATCTGAGGGCGTTACTAAGTGAAAAGGGTCTATGAAATACAAAGAGAAAGCAGGGGAAAACATATCGGAAGTTCAAGATCTCTGCCTGCCAGCTGGATTTGGAAAATGGAGACCTGAGTCGGAGGCTCGGCTCCGGCCCAGGACACTGCTGCGCCCTAAGTGGAACGTGCGAAGACAAGACCGAGCAGACGCAAACGATCACCACGTAACCTTTTTTCTTCCTTTTGATCTTCTTTCCAGGGTCCTTCTTCAGCCGTTTCCGCTTCTGGCTCTTCCCACCCCTCACTCTCCGGTTTCTGTCCAGCGTGGGCTCTTTGTCAACCTCAAACTGCTCGTCCCTGTCAGCACAGAGCTCGGACACTGCTCTGGATTCTCCCCAGATATTCAGCTTGCCATTGCCTAGAAATCATCACAGGAGATAAGTGTTTTGAACCGAGCTCCGCAAAGGCCAGATGCCGAGGGAAACGTGTGGCAGTCATGTTGGCCCTGGGCTGGTACCGTGTCTATTTGGGAGGGGGAACTCCAGCCCACGTACCTCCGGCACTGAGGGGCAACGGGTGCTTGGACAGGAACGACTGGAGCCTCACCGTGAGACCATTCTCCGAAGTGGTGTTCTCCTAAAAGGTAAGGGCGGCCCTGGAGTGAACCACGAGGTTTCATGAGGCCCCAGGAGCCCCAGGCCGTAAATGCACAGAGCCGTGGGAGGGTGACGGGGAAGCTGAGGATGGCCGTAGGCTGACTGCCAGGAAGCTGGTGGCGCTGCTTCAGGGCGTGGGGTTCTCCTGTGCAGCCACTTTCTTACTGCACACGCACGCCCTCTCATACTGCTTTGGTCTCAGAGACTCTCTTTGTTCCTTCTTTAAAAAGGAATACCTGTCCATGTCATGAAATAATTTAAAATCTACTAGAAAAAAAAAAAGAAAAACAGTCCGGGCAGATATTTAAGGGGCCTGACGCACCTTCAATACATATGGAAGTAAATATTTGTGTTTTTGGTCAATTTTAGTGTAAACAATTCAGAAACTGTGAGTGAGAAAAGGGACAGGAAGATGAGTGGTGATGGCAGCCCCCTGAGGTGGTGGCCTGGGGTGGGGATGACCAGTCCTCAGAAGCCCACCTTTTTGGCCTTGTTTATAATATAGCTGGTCCAGATCCAGTTACGCTTTAGGTGTCCGTAGAAACTGGAATCGAGCCCAGCGGCTCCTTGCCCATCTCCAGGGATCAAGCCTTCATCCACAACCTCACGGCTGCCCCTGAGAGATGGGAAATAAACAGAAACAGGGCCAAAGGAGTGGGTGGGAGCATTTTTCGTAACTTTTACTTTCCCAGAAAAACACCTGACAGATAGAAGAACTTGTCAAAACCCCAGATTTTAATGTAAAATTCTCAAGTTTTCAATTTTGGCAACTGATTCATTTTTTAAAATAATATGTGGGCTAGCTAAGGTATGGCCGGAGTCAGATGTGGCCGTTGGCCACCAATTTGCAGCCTCTGTACTAGCAACTTAGGCCCTCCCAGTCTGACATCCGAAGCCTGAAATGGAGGAGCCGGAGCCTGTGCGATAAGCACCGCCACAACCTGCACATGGGGACAGTGCATCAAGGGACAGGGACGTACGTGGTGTACTCCATCATGGCACACTTGCGCTCCAGGTTGTGCTTGTCGATGGCGCTCTCCCGCTCCTTCTGCAGACTGCCCTCCTCATCACTGCCCTGATCCGGGCTGCTGTTCCTCCTGACACGCGGGTAGCGCACCACACCTGGAAGACCAAACACAAGCCCCCCGATGACACCCTCCTGCTGCGGTTCCAGACACAGTGTGCTGCTGGGTGGCCAGAGAAGAGTGGGTTCCCTGTGACGAGGCTCCCCCCACCAGAAAGGGTCTGAAACTGGAAGGACCTCCGCACAAAATGCCTTACAGCAGGTGTCAGAGGGAGCAAAAGAAGAGAGTTGAACACTGGTGGGTGAACCTGAGAGAAGGGTCTATACTCGGGCCAAACTGCATAAGGTGGGAGGGTGAGCAGGCTCCCGGCGTCATGAGCAGAGGGGCTCCGTGCCTTCTGTGCTCGGCGGGCGACGTTGTGTGCCAGCGCAGAGGAAGTGATAAATGAGAACGACCGCGCTTGGCTGTGGCTGCGGGGATCAGGGTCAGCAGGGATCTGGACGGACAGTTTGATGCAGTGTCACAGTTTCCTTGTGAGCAGCCAGGAGCAGCCAGATGTCTCCTGAGTGCCCGAGAGGTGCCATTCATTTACTTGAGCAATTATGTTCAGCTATTCCACAATAAAGAAAATTATGTTTCTTGCAAGAAGATGTAAAGTATAACTACAACTGTTCCTTGAGTAAAGCAAAGGAAGGTTATGATAATTGCAGACTATCAAAGACCTTCTCAAAACATGCTCATCTGGAGACCGTGGCCTGGGTGGGGGGAGGGGCCATGAGGGGTGGCCACGTCTCCCACCACTCAGCCGGAGCTTTACAGGACATCTTGGTCAAGGTAGGCCTCAGCCTATAAGGTGGTGGTGGTGTTCCCCATTTAGAAATGAAGAAAAGGAGGCTCAGGAGGTGACAAAGAGCTTGCCTAAGGTCATGCATTTGAATGGAAAGTTGAACCTAAGAACCTGAGGTGTGCCACACGCTACTTGTTAGAATGCAGGTTTAGGCCAGCCCCAGGTCTGCTGAGTCCACAGCTCCGGACAGGGCCCAGTAATCCACATTTCAGCAGGCTCCTGGGGCTGTGCACGCACATTCCTGTCCCGGAACCCCTGCTTTAAAGGATGCTCACGTCTTATTACGGTGCTTGTCTCTCAGTCCTTGGGCTAGAACTCCTCAATTGCTTGCTGAATGAAAGGACAATCAGGCCTGATTAATGGACTCAATAAGCCTCCTACATTTCTGCTCATGAACACTAAAAAGGAATGGAAATTTGCCAACTGTCAAGCCTGAAAAACTTTGGTGCAAATAACATACTGGCTCACAAATTTTTATCTAAGTATAAAATGTAGGGAGATTAGGGCACTTTTAAAATCAGAACTGGCAAAAGCCTGGTTCACTAATGAATGCCAGAGGATTTTGTGAAACACACTGTTCTAAAATTTGTCTGGACCCATTAAAGGTTCCTCTCCCAGGTGCAAATCAAACACGCACCCTTGTTCTGGTAGAGCAGCGAGGAAAGACCAGATGGAAACCGGCCTCAAGGAAAGCGCGCTGGACTGACTCTCCAGCCTCCAACTACCCTCTAGTCACTTGGTAAACGCTTATGGACACTGACTGTGTACCAGGCACTTTGAGCCACCACAGGGATGAAAGGCAAATTTTCTGTGCTCAAGGAATTCACAGAATGACACGAGCTGACAACAGTAAAGGTGCTGGGAAGGCTTTCTTGAAGAGGTGACGCTTGAACTGCGTGTGGCTCCCTGAGAGATGAGCACGGGTCAGGGGACAAACTGCACAAGCAAAAGCCTCACTCGAAGCCCGACGCACCCACCCATGGGCAAGTCTGTCAGTTCTTCCTCCCACTACCTGCCAACTTGCCCCCTTTCCATCACTGTCGCCAGAGGACATCTCTTCAACCTGAGTCACAGCCCCTAACTGGCCTCCCTGCTTCTACTCTTGTGTCTCTCAGTCTGTTCTCCACACAGCAGCCAGGGTGAGCTTTGAAAGACAAAAGCAACCTCATTACTCCTTGCTTACAACCATCCAATGGCTCCTCACTGCTCTCAGAATAAACTCAAACTCTTTGCCGTGCCCTGTGAGGCCCCAGAGTCTGGCTCCCGCCCACTTCTCAATCTCAGCTGCCACAACCTTTCCCACCCACACAGGCCTCTTCTGCTTCTCCAACCACACTTGGGGCCTTTGCACTTGCCCTTCCTCCTGCTCTTCCCAGCTCTGGGCATGGCTGGCTCAGCCTCAATGTCTAGAATTCAGCTCAAATGTCTCCTCATTTCTGTTCCTGCCCACCCCATTCAAATGCCCTTGACTCATCACCCTGTGTGCCATCTTGTTTATTTCCTCTTCAGCACTCATCACCTTCCGGATCTATCTCCCTGTGTGTGTGCGTGTGTGTGTGTGTGTGTCTGTGCATGCGTGTGTGCGCGCACATGCATGTGTGTGTGTCTTCACGAGAATAAAGTCTCATGAAGGCAGGGATGGGGTATGTTCTCACTGTTCATGGTCAGGCACAGGAAATGACACACACAAGGTGTTCAGTAAACACCTACTGAATAAAGAAATGAATAAAGGCCAAGTGGGGCTGCTTGGACTGAATGTTGCTTACAGGCTGGGAGCCCTCCCCATTTAAGGCCCACTACTCTCTTTTTGAAGGGAGCCCCAAGGACACCCTAGGCCTCTGTAGAGTAGCCTGAAAATCACAAGGCGCCTGGTCATCTCTTCCAGCTGCAATTCCAGTTATCCCACAGATAGCAGAGAAAACAGGTCCGGTGAAAACAGACAGTACCTAAAGGGGTGTTGAGGCAGACGCACTGTAGGTCAAACCAGTAGTTTTCCACATCCTGCATTGAGTTCAGGACGTAAAGACGCCTTTCAAAGGGCCGGCTGCTGTGGGCAAGGTTGTAATGTGGGTCACAGATGGTGGTGTCAACAATGACTGCATTCTTCTTCAAGAAAATGAAGACCTACGAGAGAGATATGGTGGGGCAAGAAGAGTCTCAGAATCGGCCTTGGGTTAGCTGTCTGGAAACCGTGTTTAACAGTCAGGACCACCCTCCTTTGGGCTTCAAAGATGTTACCTGATCTTTATCCTGAAACTTTTCTGTGGGACCAAACTGTAGCAGCCCCATGTAGCACAGCCTCTGAAGGTTCTCCACTACCGAAAATATGTACCGTCTGGAAAACAGAAGGGAGGGGCGGGTTCCAATCACACACACGCTTGGCTGTCATCAGGGGTTGTGCACCTGTGGCCAGGAATGTGCTTCGCTTATTCTCCCCTCTTCTACCTGGTGGAACCTGGAGGACTGGTCTTGGGCCTGCACTGGACTGAGGCCCAGAACCCCCCTTTTCTCAGCCAACAATGGAGCACTGATCCTACACTGGGGGTTTGATTTAGAAAATAAAAGTAACAAAAGGATATAACCATGCCAATACTTGCAGTCTTTATCAGCAGATTTTACTTTAAAATAGTCTTGAACTTAATAAAATTTACTTCATTTGCCCCTGGGCTTTATCTAGATGGCTCACAGGTGAGTGAATTAATGAAAACCTTGCGTCTTTACCACAGGCAAAGCAGAAACCTTTCCTCCTCCTGGTCACTAATGATTCAGAACCCTAACTTCTAGGGGATTGCTGGGACTCTCAGCCACTCTGCGTCAGCTTTAGGGACCTCACCTCTTGTACAGAAGCTGCTGCCGGACGGGCCTAGGGAGAAAACGAATCAGTGTGTGCTTCTTCAGAGGGTCGTTCAGAAACTCTTCAAGGTTGTCTACCTAAGAGGTGATTTTCAGGTTCAGCTCACCCTCAAGGCCAAGGTGGATTGCAAGAATCATGAAAAAAAATCACTATTTTCTGGGCTGCAGCCTCTCTGAACCTGCTCATTGGCCTCATGGTGACAGTGCCTCCTCCTTCCTGCCCCCCTAAGCCTCCCACATCTGTTTTCAATCTTGTCACCCCTCCTTTCCAGCTCATCTGCCACACTGCTGGGTGCAATAAACAGGTGCCCTCAGATGCTGCTGGTAGGCTCACAAATTGCTAAAACGTTTCTGGGGGATGATATGGGAATATATTCATTTATATTAAAAAAAGATGAAACCAGTGATTCTATTTCTATCCTTACCCTAAAGATTTTGGAGTTTCCCACAAATATGTCTACCAAAAAGTATTCATCACATGTCATTTGTAATACCAAAAAACTAGAACTTAATGTCCAAGAATAAAATATTGGTTAAATAAATTAAGGGTATGCGCATAAGAAGGAATACTATAAATTTACTTAATGATGTGGAAAATATATCATTCAGTAGAAAGGACAGATAATAAAAGAGTAACTATAGTATAGTTTCAATTTAGTTTTTTAAAAAAAGGAAGATCTCACATATATACACACATGCAAAAACATGGTATAGGGAAAAAAGACTAGAAGAAAATGTACCAAAAACACTAGCAGTGATAGCTCTCTGAGTGATGAAGTTATGGGTAATATTTATGGTAATTTCTATTTTCTCCTTTTTCTGTATTCACCAAATTTCTAGAAACATATTTTATTGTTATACCATAATTGCTTGTCATTCTGTCTTCCGATTGATCGATCTATCTAGAAAACAAGTCTTTGAAGCATTTTCTTTGATCTACTATCTATCCTGTCCATCCATCTATCTATCCATCCATCCACTCACCCACCCATCCATCCATTCAGGCAACTGCAAATGTTAAAGCTTTTGCTTGACCCCATAAGCTCCGGCCTAGAGCTGAGGGACTAGCCTCTGTGATAGCCTTGGAGTCACCAATACCTTGTAGCTGACTTGTACAATTTGGACAAAGATGGAGAGGGGCAGGCAGAGGAGAATGTCGCTGACAAGAGCCCAGCCAAAGCCAAAGTCTCTGTGGAATGGAATGGGAGGAATATAGCGCGTCCATGAGGCTTCGTCCACATATACTAGGAGAAAATCAGAGACAGGGTCCAAGTCATAATAGTGATATCACCTCCTATTAGGTCTTGGTCCCTTTTTACCACAAACTTGGGCAAAACTCTCCTTGTCAGACAGGAAGCCCAGAGGTTCAGAAGGTTTGGATTGAGTCTTTATTTTGATCAGGCCAGTGTAGGGATTCAGCCAGTTCAGATGATAAGAAGGAACTATCAAAAGCCCCCTCTAGATCCCACTGTTGCTTGCCTGCCCTGGGGCATCTCACCTGTCTCTGTGGCGAGCTCCACTTCCGCCTCCCAGATGGCTCCATCTTGGCCGTCCTGAGGTGGCGCGTCGGAGGAAGCCTCCAAATCATTTCCGGAGGACGGAGGGGCTCCCGCCCTGCCGAGTCCCTGCTTTCCCGTTCTTCTTTCACTGCTGACGCCCGGCTTCTCCACCGTGTTGCTGGCAGGATGCCCATAGATCAGGTACCACAGAAACATGTGGACTACCCGCAGGCGAGGCATTTTGGGCAGAAACCCCAGAGAACGCCCAAGTCCGGGAACTGAGGCAAGAAAGGGGGAGGGCAGTGCTTGAAAAATCCCAGATTCAAATCAGTTCAATTTATTTAAAAACTACCAAGTGCCACCATGTCCCAGGTGCCAGGGAGACAGCAAATATTCTTATTCTCATGGAAGTTACTTTCTAGCCGGAAAGGGCAGACAATAACAAAATACCTATAATAATACATCGGATGGAATAGCTGGTGTAGAAAATAAAGCAAGGAAGGAGGGAGTGGAGGGACTGTATTTCTCCGCAGAGACCTTGAGGAAGGTCCTCAAGTCAGTGATGGCGGGGGCGGGGTGGGAACACTGAGACCTGGGGCTGCGCATCCCAGGGCAGATGGAAGGTGTCAGAGACGCGTGTGTGCTTGGCACATTCAAGGAAGGGCCAGGAGGCCAGAGCGACAGGGTGGCGCAAGGAAGGAAGACAGCGTGGGAGGTGAGCCAGAATGTAACGGGGAAGGGAGCCACCACAGAGGGCCTGACAGACCCACAGGACCCTGGGCTTGATGGGGGCTGTGCAAAATATTCCCAAATTTAGGTCTTTTCAAGTAGCTTATTTCTTTGTTTATTCAAACACAGTGTTCTCTGGCTTTCCTCAGTGAGAGAGAAGATGTGAGAGACGAGGGAGACACAGGAACAGGCCGTTAAGGACAAGTGACCAGAAGCCCTTCCTTCCAGTCATGTGTGGCCTGACGACCATGCTCGCTGCCTTCTGTCTATGCAAATGAATGTGCTATTCAGCGGCATACACTCATGCTCATGTTTCTCTGTCAGTCTGGACTTTCTGTGAATCCTTGAGAGTAAAGGCCATGCTTACATGACTATAGCCTTCAGAAAGGGAAGTCACACAAACGGCCTCTTCTGCTTGGAATCCCCAAGTCTGCTGTGTCCCATAACCAGACATTTTCTGACTGACAGGGTCCGTGTCCTGGTAAGTCACCTTTGTCCTCCCCACCAACACTCACATTTATGACCGGGAGAAGAGTAAAGCACCCGATTGATTATGAAGCCCTGCCATCATACTTGCCCAGCACACACTGAAATAGAGTGGCTTGCAGGAGGCAGGGGGTGGAGAGGGGTGAGGGATGAGGGAGGAGGAGGTTCTGTTAGACTCTTGACTCTGGGAAAATTTTATGAATGCTCAAACTCACCAATGGCTGTAACTACCATAAGGCTGTGGAGTCAGGAGAGGTGGAGATTTTCTGTGGTTTATAGAACATTCCAGCCCAAGGATAGTCAGCAGAAGGAGTTAATTTTTGTGACTAATTCCTCATGTTGGGATTTAGCATAATTTCATCAGGCTTGCAAAAATCTTGTGAGGTATGCTGGGTGAGAATCATTCTCATCTTGCAGATAGGGACATTGATGCTGGTAGAGGTCATGTGACCAGTCCCACATAACCCAGCCAGAAATTCAGACCTGATTCTCTGACCGCAGCCTTGTGCTCAAATGTAGAATACCAAGGGACTCAAAGAGCATCATGCGAACAACAAATGAAACATAATGAGACATTGACAAGAAGCTGGTTTTTACCTACAACAGGGTTGTAATTCTTAAGCTGGGTTATGCCCATTTTCTCATCAGTTTTTTTCACCCGTCCGCTTTCTGATTTAGAGGAAGCATTCGGCTGGGAGTCTCCTGATCCACTTGAGTCCTCTTTTCCTTGACTTTCTTCTTCGGCCTCCCCTTGAGGTACTGAAGGCTGGGGCGCTTTAACCCTGCAGTCCAAATATAAGACCAATACTATGCTGGGAAAACCAAGGACTGAGAGAAAGGACAGAGTCTGTCCTCATGAATCAGATGAAGCCATTGGTTCTGAGGGTTGAAATTCAACTGCCTGTAGGGGCTAATGTAAATAAATAAAATAAATAAAAAGTGTCAGATCACTAGACACTGGGGGATGGTGAGGACTGTGGTGACCTGGAGAGTGGCACCCCCACCTACAGGGCAGGTGCCGCCTTATGAGAAAGGGAGCCCAATATGGTAGGTCCTCTGACACTCTCATGCCAGAAATCAGGGACTTAACTGACATCTGACTCGAAGAACCTGTGGCCAAAGCCTGGCAGGCCACACAGACTCATGTCTGCAGGCCAGATCTGGGCCTCTGCTCATCCTTGGGCCACCTGTGGTTTAAACCCAGCTAAGAATTCTCTCCCACCCCTGAGTTTTCTCTCAGTCCATTGGATGGTTTATGAACTGAATTAGAGAAGACCTCAGAGAGGCAACTAGAATCAGTTTGAGCCATTATGAGACTGAGCAAGTTTCACTAATTGCTCTGTCCACAATTAGAATAGAATTAAAAATGTGAAGATTTTCTCTTTCTTAAAGAATCCAGAAATTGATCCATGTTAGACTAGAGGATCATGGACCACAAACCCCATACCAGTGAACTCACTAATCTTACACAAGAATAAACCAAGGGCTTTCGTGAAGACGGTTTTCAGAATAAGACAGAGACCTAGGCAGCTTCACTGAATTCTCGTGGGTGCTGTCACTTGCCTGTTTGCTGTGCTTGAATTGGAGATCCTGAAACGAACCTGCTCGATGGCGCTTCTCACCAGAGGGTCGTTCTGGTCCATGGACGGGTGCACCACTAGATCCACCTGCAGAGAAGGGGCAGTGTCCCGAAGGGCAGGGGAGGAGCTATGGAGGACTGAGCTCCACAACTCGGCTCCCAGTGGAGCACTGGTTACACCTGTTTTCACTGACATTTCCAAAAGTATTAAGAGACAAGCAAAGTGCATTGCTGAACAGCTGGCCTCTGTTTCTGGCATCAAAATCCTTCAAGTGATTGAGCTGCCATTAGTAATGGGCTACTTTGCTCAGGCGAGGAATTCTGGCCTGGGAATAAAACGGTTTTCCCTGCAGTCCCCTCACCGGGGTGTCACGGCCCACTGGTTTCAGCATCTACCTGGGGGGCTGATGCCCCATTCCTATCTGAAAATTCACCACAGTTGCTCGTGAATCCTGAGGGCTTCCATCTGGAAAAGGTAAGCGGCTTTCATTAATCTCCCCTCACTGAGAGTGCCGTCCTGGGACTCCCGCCAGGCGCGCTTCTAAATAAACTGGCAGAGGATTTAGAGCTGCTTTTGTTGTTTTACCTTTTCTGAGGTACCGAAGCTGAACAGTTGGAGTGGTTATCATTTCAGGAGAGATAACTAGGATGACAAATGGAAATAACTTGGTGGAACTGAGCAGAAGGGTGTGTGACAGCTATGTAAAAGATGGCAGACACGATGGCCTGAGACCCTGGAGGGCCCCTCTGTCACTGGCAGGAGAGAGCAAGGTAAGGCTTTCTCAATGGTAACTCTGGTCAGCAGGCTTCCTGCCCCAAATGGCCTGAGAGATGGTAGATCACTGGGAATAGGCAGAAACGCCTAGATGGAAACCCCAAAAGGCCACCTGGCTCAGACTCTTCAGCTCCTCATTTGTGAAATGGGGACCCCTCCCCCATGCCCTGCCAACTTTTTTATGGTTTTCATGAGGCTCGAATGAGATACAGTTAGGCAACACCCAGAGAATTTAAAAGCCCAGTGCACATACAAAGCATTCCTATTTCCCCACCTTCCACAGCCAAATGGCCCAGCCAACTTCCCAAAGGCCCAACGGACAGGGCAGCCAGATGCAGGAGCCAAGGCAAAGGCTGATGCTGGTGCACAGCATCTCTGGCCAGCGGCTCCAGGAGATAAGGAGGTGCCTGTGGCAGCTCGGACTCCAAGCGCCAGACAAAGTGCTGTTGAGACACTTAAGCTTATTCTGGAGGTGGATATATAACACTGCAGCCCTTTCCATCTGGAAAAATGGGGTACCACTATAGTAGTACCTATGGCAAGAGGCCCCCAGAACTTGGCGCCTACATCTTTGAGGTTGCGTGATCCTCAGCTTGTACCTGTGGCACTCACTCCCCACCCCGAGCCCTGGCCTGCTCCCTCCCATACTGCCTGGTGGATACGGAGCCAAATAGGAGCTGGAGACACAGTGGGTACCTTGGACAGACTGGCCCTCTCCACTCTTAGCCTGGGAGAGATTTCCTTGCCCTCAGTTTCTGCTCTGAGAGGGGTGCCCGTCCAAAAGACCTGCTCTGTGAAGATCAATGGAAATCAGAGGCGTTGTAGCTGATGGGCTGGGGCTTTTGTCCTTCAAGGGGATGAGTGGCAGGCTGGCTGGGGATGGGAGAGGAGCAAGGTCAAGGGGATTCCTAGAAGATATAAAAACTGATAAGCACTGCCAACTAGAAATGGTAGAAACTGTATTTCTTAAGTCATTTTTCGTATTGCTCTGTTTTTCAAATTTCAAATGTCTCAATAAATAAGATAAAGTAAAACAACAGAAATGACCTTGCCATTTTATTAAGAAAACAAAACATCAAAGCAGAGCTTTCTTAAGGCAGAGATTTAAAATGCAGTCAGAAAAAAGGTCAGGAAATTACAACCGACTGTCCTTTGGTCCCAATGCCCAGCTGGGCTCTCAAATTACTCTGACCCTGAAAAATTTATGTCTTAAATTAAGTGCAAAGCCGCTGAGCTATGGTTGCTATGGGAATGGCCTCAAACTTTAAATTTTACAGAAACGAATAAATTGAGACAAAAGAGATACATTGTTTCCCATCAGATAACCCCAGCAGTGCATCCTAATTGAGTGGCTGCCATCATATCCTCTGGGATATGTTTCCTCAGATGTCTGTGGAAAATGTTCTTGCTGCTCAGTCTAAATTTTCCACCTCTTAAATGTTGCTTAATTTCTCCCCACACTACTTGGTCGAGGCAGGCTGCAGGGCTGGACACCTGCCTTGGGCTGTACATGCTGCTCTAAGATCCAAGCACATGATTCCTTTTTTCTTGTTTCCAGCTTCCCCAGAAAGTTGGGATGATCCCTGTTCCCCAAATTAGGAGGCATAATGGGAAATTCCGAGTTATTGACAACAAAGGAACGACTGAGAAGTAACAAGGATATGAGAAGCCAGACAAGAAAGTGTCCAGCAGCACCCAGCTGCCTCTGTGGGCATCAGAGAGCCTGTGGTTACCTTCTTCTTGATGCCATCTTGAATAACCGTCGTCCGATACAGCCTTAGGAGCCCTTCCTCAGACAGGTTCCGCACCAGGCGGACAATGGACTTCTTACAGCACTTGGTAGACACGCCTTCTTGCTTCTCCTGATCCATGATCATTTTCTGAATCCTGGGGCATCACAGAACAAGCAGTTAGTATCTCTGGTCTCAGCATGGAGGCCTTTCTCACCCGACGCAACTGAGACATGCCTACCAGCAGAAACGAGAGAGGAATTCAAGGGGGTTTCACCCTTCAAAGGTTGACTTCTTGAGGAAGTAAGATCATCTCTTTGAGATAGTTAGCTAAAGACCACCCACCGTTTACAACAGGTTCACATTCTGAGCTTTCCACTAGGAACTAAAGAGAGATCACATGACTTGTGACAATAACGGCCAGGAAACTAAGCACCACGATGGAAATCTGTCTTTACTAAGTCTCCAAGTTACTTTAACACCCAGTGAGAAATGTTCCAGGTTACCACCGTCGACATCCTCAATTCAGGAGCTCTTTTTGATTCCTCTCCTCATATGTCTTACTCTCTAGATCTTACTGAGTCACTATGGTGATTTCTAGATCACCGATCAGAATGGCAGGGCCAGAAGGGACATTAGGAACACACAGCCAAACCCCTCCCTGCAGAGAAGAGGGGCCCTCGGCAGCAGTATCTGCAGATGGCCTCCCCATCACCTAGTTAGAGAAGTCGCGTCCTTGACTCAAGGTAATGCTCCTTCCAGTCGAGTGGTTTTCACACTGGGTGCCTTGGAAACCATGAAAACGTTGCCCAGGGCTTAGTGGTAACGGCAGAAGGGCCAAGCCAGAGTGCAGAGCCTCTGTATGAACAGGGGCGCCCCAGACGCAGAAGTTCTCTTGTGTCTCTTTTGTTTTTGCTTTCACGTAAGATTTTAGCCGATGCTATTACCTGCCTAAGTTTCTTCTGACCCCTTCACTACCACTAAATTTCCAAGGAAGGAGAAAGGCACATGTACTTTCCCCAGGACTCCTAGTTCTCGTTCAATCACCTCTCCCTGTCGAGTGTCTTGATATTCTTCAATGTCTACACTTGTCAGATCACGAGAACAAAGTAAATCCTTTCTACCACAAAGGGATACTATGAGAATCTATATAGGGGAAAAGAGACTCAAACGCCTCTTGGTCATTTCTGTGCCTGTGATGACTAATCGGCATGAGATTTGTTATTAGTGCAAGAGAGACGGACTACCCCTTACGTGAATAAGCTCTCGATTAAGCGGAGGTTGGTGACAGCTTCTATGATCAGATTCCTGCGTTTCAGCAGTCGGTAAGTTTCATGGGGTTTGTCTTGGCCCGGGCCGTGCTTCCCAGTCTTCTGGGAACTGCTACTCTCCTAGAACAGGGACCAAAAGCACAAGAATACAACGAGCTCAGTACACTTCGGGGGCCAAGCACCACTCCTGCAGGCGCACTTTCCCTCTTTGTGGAATTTCTGTGCACAAGCTTTAAGGAGGAAGTCAGGAAGACTGTTTCCCCAACAGGATTCTAGTACCCCACTATTTCAATGCTTTGAAATGGCAAAGACATCTGTCAGCAGAGGATCCTGGAAATTTATGAAGATCAGCTGGTTTCAGAACAGAAATTAGGGGCATGTACTACAGCACCTCCTGAAGCAGGAGAAAGCAGTCATTCGATTATTATTATTATTTTTTGGTTCTGCAACAGAAGGGAAGAAGCTGACATGCTGAGGATGACTCCCTGCCAGTCATTCTATTAGGCTTTTTCATCGAAAACTCTCAAGCACCTTATTATTACAGTTCCCATTTTACGGAAGAGGAAACCAGGGCTCAGTGAGGGGAAGTAACCATGTGCCAGGACAGGCTCTGCCTCATGGGCTTCCGACTCCAAATCCAGAAAGCCATGGGAAGCCTCTCTGAGAACAAAAGGCAGACGCAGAGGCAGGCTTCTGGGTTCAGAACAGGCTGCCCTGGGTACATGAGGATGAGCAGTGAGGGAAAGACAAAGGGAAGAGAAAGATCAGTGTTCTCCTCTTGTCCCTGCCAAAATGCCCACCAGTCTCCATGGCTCCTTTCTGTGTTCTAGGAGCTTAAATGAACTTGTTCCATCAGCTCTCAGATCAAAAATAGTACAGACGAAAAGTGCGCCCTTGACCAGAAAGGAAATTCCAACTCTAACATGTTCCTTGCAAACCACTTGGCATAAATCAGCACCCCATGGCAGCCCGGGGCCTGTTTTGCTGGCCACACTTCTCTCATGGAATGGAGCTTTCAGGAGAATGAGAACTGACTCAAGGAGGCTACTCATTTTCAGTGTCACAACAGGTCATTCCCTTGTCTTCTGTTGGCGTTCCCAGGAGACCCAGTTCTTTCATGCAGCCAGAAGAGCTTGAGGTGTGAAATATTCAAAGATTCAAGAAGGGGCCCAAGAGGGGCAGAAAGACCTTTGCTCTCGCTTGCATTTCAAAGTAAACATTTGGAGGAGATGCACAGGAGTAAATGTGGCCACTTTCATGGGGCTGCTGGAGAGCAAAGCAAAAACATGTCTTGCCAAGGGACCTGCAGATAGTATAGTTCATGGCTCTCCTCTTAGCAGGTATGCAAAAGGTCCTGCCATTACTTTGGGGACAGATTTTTAAGAAGAAATGAAAGGGCTGAGCTCCTGTTGCTTGGGAAGCAAGCAACAGGAGTTCCAGGACCTGGAGGGAAGCACGGGGACCTGATTAGAAGGTGCAGAGGTGGGTGAGTAGAGAAAGCAGGTGGGATCTGCCTGGCAGACCAGGTTCTTCAGTTAGAGACAATATCAATCATGTCTTGATAACGAGGAGTTATGGCATCCAACCAATAGGAAAGGGCCAAAAGTTTCTAGAAAAAGCCACAGAAAACCTTCTCCACCCCACTCCCCATCACTTCTGCTATAGGGAGAATACGGAAGCACAGGCCTCCATGTGGAAAGGGAGAAGCAAGGACGGGGTGGGAGCTCCGCACACGTGGGTTCTTCCTGTGTTGTGAACTGAGCAGGCACGTCACTCAATCCCTAGGGCCAACACTCCCCGCCTCCTGGACCAGAGCTGACACTTGTCTTACAGAGCTGCTGTGAAGCCTGAACGAAACACCAGTGACAGCATCTTGATCACAGGTCTGTCCTGTTCTGAGTGTCTCCTCCTCTGACCCTGTGTTTCTAAAGTGCAGGAGGCATCTCCAGCAGTATCTGAGGCACGTAAGGTGACAAAGGACAGTGAACCGAATCATATAATGAGAAAGGGGTTCCTGCGTCAACTGTCTTTTAATTTGTCTAATTACACCAATGAAAAAGTATTGGTTTGATTCAACTGAATCTTTAACCTTCTGACATACAATAGTATCTGGCCAGAATGTACTAATATAGTTTTATTTTCATTACTTCCACTTTATGGTTTACCTTCTTTTTATGTGATGACACTGGCCTTTCATCTAAAGCAGGGGTTCTCGGCCCTGGCACTGTCAACACTTTGGGCTGGATAATTCTCTGTGGGGGGCTATCCTGCACACTCTAGGATGTTTATCAGCATCCCTGGCCTCTCCCTACTAGATGCCAGTAGGACCATTTACTCCCAGTCACGACAATTAAAAATGTCTCCAGACATTGCCAAATGTCCCCGAGGGGGCAAAATGGACCCAAAGTGAGATCCACTGATCTAAACTGGTCCTACAAATCTTCCCTGCAAAATAAGTTTAAGTAAAAAGAGTAAGTTGTTGGAAATTAAAAACTCTATAAATAATAGTGCAGGTGATTTCCGGTAGGGCAAAGCTGCATGCAAGTGGTATGTAAATGAGCAATTCCTTACTTCCCACAGAGCACCAGTCTATGGCCTGGCATGGAGCAGGCACTTGGCATCTGGTGCTTTTGATTCTGTTGTTGCTGTTGTGATTCTTAAGCACAGAACTGATGAGGCTGATGTCCGCCCGCCACAGGCTCCCACTGTGAGCTCTCACCTTTGGGTTTTCAAGCCTGACCTCTTCAATCACAGCTATGTCGCCACTGTTACTCTCCAAGCAGCTGGAGCCAAAGGGCACGCTGGGGTCTGAGGAGCTGCTGGTGTCCAGGAGGCCGTCCCCAGGGACAGAGCTCCAGCAGGCTTTCTCCTCGGCAGCTCCTGGGGAGGAAGATGGCTGCTTCTTCAACGGGTGTAAGTTCACCTTCCAGCCACCTGTGGTGGAGGGCAGGAGTAGAAGGAGTGAACTGCGGCCACATCAAGGCGGGCATGAGAAGGATTTACACTCAGCAGCCGGACCAGACTGACCCACACAGGCCGAAGGAGTCCATTTGGTCAGTTTAAAGATGAGGGGAGTGGACCAAGCAAGCAGCACGGCGCCCCATTCTTAGCTGGATATCAGATTTGCAAATCTGTCATCAGCACCACATTCGTATGTTTAAAAATAAGTCTTCTAAAACTAAACTGAACACTTAAGAGGTTCTCAAGTTGTTGGAGGGAAGGAACATTTATCAAATTCCATCCCTTGAATAGTAAGAACAGCAAGCAGAAAAGAGATAGATCACATGACCGTATCCTCTAAACTTATGATGATGTGATGCATATGACACCAACAGGTCCCGAATTAGGACAGCACCGAGGATATCCTCATGTGTCTGCTGGACCTAACAGCCTGTTTTCTGAAGACACCCGGAGCAAGGAAAGATTAGCATAGCTCAGACTGAGGGCGCACCCCTGCCCCTGCCCCGAGAGAGCCCAGTACCCTTGGTGGGGGTGGAGTGATGAGGCTGGGTGCCGAGACCGACGCTGGAGGATCTCACGTCCGCCTGTGATCCTTTGCCTCTCCTCCTGCTGCCGCTGCTGCTGCCCTCCTCCTCACTGTCCGACTCGGAGAGGAAAGTGTCCTCTCCTTCGGGCAGGAGTGACTCCTCCGGCACCGAGGCCAAGCTCACTGTGGTCAGCAGCTCGCTCCGGGCTTTCTCCCTTTCATACTGCCGGCTCAGGTCGCTCTCCTCGGCGAACACGCAGGAGATGTACTTGGTAGTCCGCTGCCGCCCTTCGTCTTCCATGAATCCCTGGGGGGTGAGATGAGTTTAATCACACTCAAAAGGGGATGCTGTGACACACAGGCATTCCCGTGACCCACGGGTCTGTGGCGTCGGTGTCTATTTCCTTATTGTTCCTGAGTTCCCCTGCATCCCCTCCATCTCACCGCTGGGCCCCAGGTCAGGCCCCATCGATGCTCCCTCATATGGCTTCCTGCCTCGTCACCCCTCAGGCCCTGCTTCTACAGGCCTGTGGAGGATAGTGTTCTGAATCGCAGTCCCCAATGCGTGTCTGCGCGTTGAGGATGAGGCCCTAACTTGGTCTTCTGCATGTCCCCAATGCCTGGCTCAGGACTAGGCCTAAAAGAAATGGTTAGTAGGCAGTGTTTGTTATGCAAAATTCGACAGTTCAGAACTGTTGTCACAGACTGGTGACAACATTCAGCCACTGCCTTGGGGACTGATGATGAGATCATCTCCCCCCGCCCCCCCATCCACGTTCATTCTATCTTCTAAGACAGGGAAGAGGGGCTCTCCCAGGGCCCTTAATGGCAGAAAGAGTAACATTTTTTTTTTATATACCAACCACATGCCATGGAAGTGCCAAGTGCCCCACAATTATTAGCTTGACTATAATACTCTCTTCCAGCAAAATGGCCAAAAAGTTGGCAAGGAGAGAGTGAAGCTTAAAGGGCTGAGACAGCAGATCTGAGTTCTGAAAGGGGAATGCCAGACATGTATAATTAGCCAGCTCGATGTCCCCAGGAGCCAGACAAGTAACATAAAAGAGAGGCGGGGCTTGTGGAGCCCTGGAGAGCACCTGCTTTGTCCAAAGGGGTGTCTGGATGCCAGCCAGCTTCAGCTGGCTCCCCACACAGGAGGGCGCTTCCTGTGCTGCCACATCTGCTGACTTTTCAATGCTGACTACTCATTCATCTTTTAAAAAGTAAAAACCAACAGAAACCACAGTGAGGGGGAAATAGGACATGCCCATGGCTGTTTTCAGCCCCCAGGGCAGCCATTTGCTCCTTGACAGAGATGGCAGGCCTGCCTCATTTCCTGAGGTGCTGAGACATTCCTCCATAATTCCACTGTGTGCACATCCAAAGATACTGAATTGTGCAGAGGACACTTGGTGTTACCTTGACAACTTTGAATCTTTGAAGGAGACGACACAGCATTCTTGCTTCCAGTTTTCCCACATTCATGGCCACTCGGATTTCAGCTTGGGAAATTCCTTTCGTGCCTCTGCGTTCAACTGTGTGAAACAATATACTTGAACCCCAACCTCTGCAAAGGAGTCATTCTGCACAAGCCAATTCCATCCACCTTTTTAAAGCAGACATTTCAATGCAGTGAAACCAATCAACAGAAAAAAATAAATGCCTCCTCTCTCCCTCCAAGAATCTCTAGACAATACTGCTCACAGCCAATTTTAAGGACTCGCTATCTGACTCTTCCATGTTAAAACAGTAAGTCAAGCGATCAACTGCTGATCTACTAAGTTCCAATAACAATTTTTTTACCCAGTAGCAGGGAGTTCACTTCTGCACATGAATGAACTTTTTCAGATAAATGAAATTAACTCTTTTAAAAAGCATTAAGATAATTTTTAATTAAGAACTTTAAAATTTTCCCTGTCTTTCTCAGTAGATTCAGAGGCATCGTGGACACTGATTACTGTAGTGCCCTATAATAGTCATCGGTCAGCAGGGACTATGAAAAGAAATCACGCTATTTGGTCCTATCCAAATGACCAGCAGATGATTGTCTAGTTGTTGGCTCCTGCCCTGCTACATAGTCATTGCTCAGTGCTGTTATTGTATCTCTCTCTAAGAAAAAGCCCTTTTAAGCTTACGGGTCTACTGGGGACCGGGGACTCTAGGAAGGAACCTGCTAGGAGTGGGGCAGGGTGGCAGCAAATCCCTCCAGTAATATACACCAAAGACCTTTGACTGTTCAGAAATATTTTCCCCTTTATTTCCTGGTCCATCACACACTTGCAGCTGCCAGGTAAAACCAATCTGGATAAAGGAGGTTCTGCCGTATTGTACGTGTAGAAAATAAACATCAGAATGAAAAGAGGAGACTGGGATGTGTTCTCATAATGAACTAGTGATATGTTACTGGTGGGGTAAAATGGGTAAGGGCAGCTTTTCCCAAACGGGGTTCTGAGGAACCTATTCTGAGTGGTGGTAAGAGGTAATAAAAACTGCCAAATGGCTGTCTAAACAAGCTGCGCTGATTTGCCAGTGTCTCTGTACCTGCTGGCTGAATCAGATCTCCTGCTGCCGCCTCACCTGCTCCGTCCTCCTCCTCACAGGGACCTTTGGCCACACCACCTTTGGCACTAGGTCGCTGCTGTCTTTCATAGATTTTAGAGATCTCGATAAAGGGTGAGCCTTTCATCACTAGAATTCCCAGCCTGCAGCGACTCCAGACTAATTTTAGAAGACAGTACGTGGCTCTCAAATCTCTGAGTAATAATATTAATAGCTAATTGCTATAGTGCTATCTACATGCCAGGCACTACACCAAATATTTTAATCCTAGTCCTCATTACGTGCCAGGGTTGATTTTATCTCCATTTTGCAGATGACGCTTGGAGACCTTGTTGAAGTCATAGCGCTAACAAGTGGCAGAGCAGGGATTCAAACTCAGATCTGATCCAAAAGCCTAAGATTTTCAAGGGAACTGGGGTGCTTCCCTCTGTGTTACATTCTCAAGAGCAGAGCCCTTGACTCAAATGCTCGGGAACCACACGGAAACGGATGTGAGGACAGGACCTACTGAGTTCGTAGGTCTGTGTGAGCATGTCCCGCTCGTACACGATGTCCACCGGAGGCACTGCCTTGGAGATGACCTCCTCGTCGTCGTCGTCATCCTGGTCATGGTCGTCTTCGACCTTCCGTTTGAATTCCTTCAGCAGCCTGAGGCAGCGCACCATGACGTCAGTCCCTAGAAACGCAAACACATGTTTTCCAGCAATGAGTAAAATGGCGTTGTGTAGGGGGAGGGGACTTCAGCAGAGACAGAGGCTCAGAGGAAGGTCATACACAGCATCGAGTTTGGAACATTTAAAACTGCATGTTTTCGGGTTCAAGACCTGAAAATTTACTCCATAAAATGCCTTTTGTTTTTAATATAATTAGTGAACAAAGAAATGCAAAGGAATAATAAGGTGCCATGTTAGTCTGATTAGACAAACAGCAGCCTGCTGCTTGAGACAAGCTCCATGCCTGTCTTTTCACATCACCTCCCCAGCCCCCGGAACAGTGCCCAGCACACAGGAGGCACACAAGCAGTATTGCTGAAAGAATGAAAACCATCTTTCTCCATATCCAGGTGTGAATGAGTTCTACAACCCTTCCTGGCCATTTTGGGAGGCCTTAACCCAGTGATTCCAAGTGGGAGAATTTAGTCCAAGAAAATAGCTCCAAAGAGGTGAAGCTGCCACTATAACGCAGCATTCTGTATAGCACTAGCTTTTATGAATAATAAGCAGTGATGGAAGACTGAGTGGCAATACCCGGATAAGCCACTACACACTGTGGGCTGGCGCCTGCCTTCAATCACACTGCACCTATATTCAACCTCCAAAAGCACAGTGTAGGAAAAATGACAGTGTGTGCCTATGGCTAGAATGAGAGAAAGGTACAAGGAAAAACTGAAACATCTTGACACTTTACACGTGCTAATTCATTGGATCCTGACAACCTTAGAAGGCACTTTACAGATGTAGAAACTGAGGTACAGAGAGGTCAATTAACTTGCATCCAACAGCTTGCAAGTGACAGAGGTAAAGTGACTTGGGCAGGGCTACAGGTCTCCAACATGGGAGAAAGGGTTATGCACTAAGATGTCCTATGATTTGTGACAGTGTAGAGTAAGAATAATGTCCCTCGAAGATGTCTATGCCCTAATTCCTGGAACCTATGAATACGTTACCTTCTGTGGCAAAAAGGACTTGCAGGTGTGATTACGTTAAAGCTTTTGTTATGGTGGTGGTCAGAGGTTTTGAGATTTTCCTGGATCATCCAATGCGCCCAGAGTAATATCAGAAAGCCCTTGGGAAGAGGGAGGCAGAGTGACAGATTGGGAGATGTAATGCTGCTGGGTTTGGAGAGGGAGAAAGGAACCCTGAGCCACGGGCTGCAGGTGGCTTCTAGAAACTGGAAAAGGCCAAGGAATGGATTCTCTCCTAGAGCATCCAAAAGAAACACAGCCCTGTTGACAGCTTAATTTTAGCCCAGTGAGACCCATTTTAGACTACTGACCTCCATAACTGTAAAATAATAATCCGTGTTGTTTTAAGTCATTAAGTTTGTGGTAATTGTTACTGAACATAAACGGACGGTTTCTCCAGCAGCTTTCGACAGCACATGGAGGTACAGAATCCTTGGAACCATCACAAGGGATGGTGGCCATAAAGCCGGTCTCTGCAACCCAGCACCTCCTGTGCTGGAGCTGTGGCCACAAAGGGCCTTCCTGTGGGGTGCGAAACGCCCACACCAGAGCTTTGCAGACTGCTGTCTGAGCCAGGTCAGGTCCAACCACCCTAAGGCAGGGGAGTCTCGTGGAGACAGAGTACTTGGCTGGCTTACAGGTGAAGTTTACAAATAAGAAAGCATCTCAGGGCCCCGAACTCAACAGAACGTTACCCTCAGAATAAGGTCTGCTGAGGCTGACCCGCCAGAACCCTGCAGGAGCGCCAATCTGGGGCAAACGGTACGCAGGAACATGGGCAGCCTTGTCAGTCATGAGGCAACAGGCAGGAACATGGCAGCCTTGACAGTCCTGAGGCACCAGCTTGGGACTGACTCCCCTTTACTCCTCAACGGGACAGAAAAGCCCCCCGCTCATGACTTTTCAACAGTGGAAACGTGAAGCCCGTGTCACAGTCCAGGCCTCAGGCCTTGGCTCCCTTTGCACCTGCCATGCTCTCTCAGTTCTCTTGCTTTCCATGGCTTTGCCCTTGGTTCCAGGTGCCTGACTTCCCTCAACTTGTCACTCCCAGGATGGGAGCCCAAAGTAACCAGGAGTGGAGACATAAGGAAGAGGGGACTCTTGGGCCCATCTGTATGGATGAAAACTATTTCAAGGCTCGGGTGACTGGGTCAGGTCCTCCCTTGGGTCAGAGGCACCTGATCCCTCGCTCACCCAGCATGCAGGCAGAACATTGACCACCAAGCCAACCCCCACAGGGTCTTCCCCTCCGTCCTCTAATCGAGCCCCTTCTAATCTCCAACCCCTCATCTCACCCTTAAAAGGTGCTCACAGAACAACCGACTGCTCCTAATAATAAAACTACCAGTTTTTGAATGGAGGCCACATCACAGACACTGATCTCAGGTCTCCATGTGCGACACACAAGTAGTCCTCACCAGTTTTAGTGGGTAAGTGCTACCATCCTGTTGAAATTTGCTCAAACTCCCACCTTTTAGAAAGTGAGGATTTACCGGAAAGTCTGCTTTGGAGCCCAGGCCCTAAACCTTTGATGACATACGGCCCCGGATGGAAAGATGTCCATGTGACTGAGAGCAGTGGCGACCTGGGGCCAGGGACACTGGCTTCTGTGTCAGTGGCAGCACAACGCATCACTTGGCGGAACAGACCGGCATGTTCTCAGCAACCACCCAATGTTCTTTCTTCCACTCCTTTTTAACTTCCTTGAGGGGCTCATTAGCCAAGAAAAGATACACAGAGCAGCTCTCCAAATAAACACAAGTAGAAGAGGAGAAATGTTACTATATACTCATGGACTCGAAGGGCAACAACAAAAAAACGCTTCTCGGTCTTGAAGCCTCTGCTTTGCATAGCATCAAGGTGGCAACTGTTCCCTCTTCTCTGCTCCTAGAGCATGGACACCTACTCCATCAGCCTTCTCCAAATGGCACAGCTGCCTCCTCTGCTGACAGATGGATGGATGGTCAGAGGAGTGTGGGGATAAACAGGCTCCGGGGCAGGCAGATGCACATCGATCTCGGCTCTACAATCTCCCATTTCTGTAACTTTCGGGAAATGATTTAATATAGCTATTTCCTACTTGGTAAAATGATATGACAGTGTTCTCTATCTCACAGCTTAGTGTTAGGGTGACCCCAGATAATGTCTGCACAGAGGCTAGCACATAGCGATCACTCGACCTGAACACCGTGCACTTGCTGTGGGCCAGGCATTGTGCCAGGGGCATTACCTGAATGAACCCAACAAATCTCAATCCGAGGCTAGCAGGTCTCTGTAAGCCCCATGGTACAGATATGGAAGCTGAGGCCCAAAGAGGTTAAGCGACTTGCTCAAAGTGACGGAACTATGAAATGGCAGAGCTAGGATTTAAGCTCAAGCTGTGTGAAGCTCCCAACCAACACAGCAGTTATCTTTAATGGTATCGCCAGCACCTGGCACAGTGTAGAGGATGACAAACATTAGATGAATTAAAGACAGTTGGTCTCTTCTTGCCACGTAGGAAAGCCCCATAGCTGGCCTAAGGTCATGGTGGCCTGGCTCCTGGAGATAGGTGGGAACTTGCCCCTGCTCCGGTCCTGAGCATGGGATTCAGGAGGGCCCCTGGACAGGCAGGCTGTTGGCCAGGGGAGGTGAGGGTGATGCTCAAGGACCAAGTGGCTCACAGCAATCACACTGGGCACTGTGAGCCCCAGGACTGACAAGGAGCTTGCGACCCAAGGGAGGCAAGTCTCCAGCGCACCATGAGTGGAGGGTGGCCTTGCGCACCCTCGGCTGCTGGTAAGGTTTCGGGCCATGGGGTCTGCAGCCCCGCCCATCCTACACACGCGGCTGACCGCTCTGCTGCAAATCCCAACTGTGCCGACATTCTTCTGTGGGAAACCCCGGCCACTCACCTGAGCTATGTCTGCTCCAGTCCTTCTCAGCATACCGACCACAGAAACGTTTCCCTTCCCCGTGCCATGTCGTATGCGCCCTTACTTTGCAAAATGTTGTTAGCGAGGAAGTGTGCACAGCGGTTAAGAATCTACACTCTCCTGCCAGAGCTGGTGTGTGAACTGGGCAAGCTTGTTGCCTTCTTTCAGCCTCAACCATCCTGCCTGCAAACTAGGGCTGCCACGACATCCAGCCTCAAGGGGGAAACTGCCTGAGAGAAGGCAGGTACAGGAACGAAGTGCAGCCTGTGCTTCAGGTTCCAGGCGACAACTTGGGATTAGTTTCACTGGCCCTTTATATATTTCCCACAGTTCTAGAGTCTTACCAGCCTCAGAATTTAAATGTTTACCAGTAAAGTCCCTTCAGCTCATACTTGCCCTTTTTAAGGAGCCTGTTCCAGACCACAAAGCAGCTAAGGCGGTGAGAGGAAGACTCCAGGCAGCACAGCCAGGCAGGGGAACACAGCCTAACAGTCCATCTGAGCTGCCACCTCAGCTACCAGCAATTCCCTGGAGGAACTGCTGGCCTGCTAATGGCAACCGCTGACACCAGGGTGCAGGGCTTTCTTTCCAGGAACAAAAGGCAGGAGAAAGAACCACTGCATAAGCTTTCAAGCACATGGGATTTCAGGTTATCTAAAAATGTGGTGTGCTGATATCAGCAGTCCAACACAAAGGGATCATGCAGCTCTTTTGTGTCCAAGATCCAGGACAGGCTGACGTTAGCATGAAGAAATAATGGCTTAATTTAGACATTTTGAAGACCCAGAAAAGAAGGGAAGGGTGAATCTTGACTGAGCACCTAGTAGTAGCCAGGCACCGTGTCAGGTGCTTTTAGGGGCTATTTTACTTAATCATGTGTGGACTCTGCAAGTTACTATTGCCATTTGTAAGAGAAAGGAAGTCGAAGCTCAGAGGGGTCCAGTGATTTGACCAATGTCTTAGACCTAGCAAGTGGCTTTTCTTCCACACTAGGCCACCTGGCTAGGTTAGAATTTCAAATTTCTACCAGAAAGTATCATTGTAAAGGAAAACCCAGAGTAGCTATGAAGTGGAACC